GATGTATCGTAAATTTAGTTCATATGAAAATCGATCTCTCTTGGACGTTTCATTAGTTTATAGAAGTACTGGAGAATTGAAATTCATGGTTTTTTTTTTTAATACTTCCTTCCCAAATATTTCATAAAAAAAATTCACTGTAAAAATGTGAGATGTATCGTAAATTTAGATCATCTGAAAATCAATCTCTCTTGGACCTTTCATTAGTTTATAGAAGTACTGGAGAATTGAAATTCATGGTTTTTTTTTTTAATACTTCCTTCCCAAATATTTCATAAAAAAGTCACTGGGATTCACTGTAAAGATACGATGTATCGTAAATTTAGTTCCTATGAAAATCGATCTCTCTTGGACCTTTCATTAGTTTATAGAAGTACTGGGAAATTGAAATTCGTGATTTCGGTGAAATGTGAGATTTAGAGGGAGGTTTAACTACATACTTAATTCGCGGATCTGGGATTAGGAATTCTCTCTTGGAGATCCTAGAAAACGATTTTGGAGAACCGTTTATTGCGGACCCCGGAGATGCTCATCTCTCTTGTCGTTAATTAATCTTACATAGACATGGCACGTGTATACTTGTACGTGTTTATCCGAGCACACGTTGAAGGGGAAATTATGCCCCCACGTGGAGCACGTACTATGCGGACCTACGAACACACCTAGGTCTTGACATTCCCACGTGCGTCACATACTAGACACAAATCTACGTCTAAATCGTGACATAACGATACGACGTGCGTCACGATTCGATTCGCGACATGACCTATACGGAATTCTTATGTGGCCGAAATCTGCTCGTATCGCCGATTTACGGTTTCAAGTATTGGACCAATCGACATGCTTCTTAATTTTTTTTCCCGCATTCTGAGTCGTGATTAAAATCCGAAAAAATTGACATTGTCAAGGGGGTCCAAGGAAGGAGTCCTCGAATGTCGGTGAGACTTATTGAGGTTTTCTAGAGGAAGATAACAAATTAAGCGACCTATCTCGGGGTCCATCGACGTGCTTCTTAATTTTCTCCTTGATTATGAGTCGTGATTAAAATCCAAAAAAATTGACATTGTCAAGGGGATCCAAGGAGGACATCGCGGAAAATTTTTGGAAGGAGTCCTCGAATGTCGGTGAGACTTATTGAGGTTTTCTAGAGGAAGATAACAAATTAAGCGACCTATCTCGGGGTCCATCGACGTGCTTCTTAATTTTCTCCTTGATTATGAGTCGTGATTAAAATCCGAAAAAATTGACATTGTCAAGGGGGTCCAAGGAAGACATTGTGGAAAATTTTTGGAAGGAGTCCTCGAATGTCGGTGAGACTTATTGAGGTTTTCTAGAGAAAGATAACAAATTAAGCGACCTATCTCGGGGTCCATCGACGTGCTTTTTAATTTTCTCCTTGATTATGAGTCGTGATTAAAATCCAAAAAAATTGACATTGTCAAGGGGGTCCAAGGGGGACATCGTGGAAAATTTTTGGAAGGGTCGGGTATCGGTGAGAGTTCCTAGAGGCCTCTTAGAGAAGGAGGAATAATTCAGCGACCGAACGCCCGCTTTTTTATTCATCCTGGACACCAGTGACGTCGCGACGCCACGTGACGTCAGTAAGACCGGTCGATTTACGCAAAATTTAACAGCCTATTGTCTCACACCCGCCAAGGGAAACGGAAGTAGTGCATTCTTTATAAGGCCCGAAATAATCGGGCCCGGGAGAGCGCGACTGCCCTCCCTCCCTCCCGTCCATTTCTGCTCTCTCCTGGCTTCAGGATTCGAGATATCGAAAAATCGTTCCCACGAAATTTCTTCCTTGGACCGTTCTCTCGAACTTTCGTAGGGCGCACTTTTTCGTACGACTCGAGGTTTCGCCGGTAATCTGCGTAAAAGTGGGAATGTTCCGCAATTTCTTAGGCGCAAATCTTAATCGACGTTCCTTGCTGGATTAATAAAAAAGAGATATTACCGGTACTCGAAGCTGAATGTGCGACGCAGGGTGGAGGTGCAGGTTGCTTATGAATGTATGGTAATCATGGCAGTGCTGCTCTCGTTACGGAGAGGAATTTCATTACCGACTATAACATGTCGGAAGCTGCGAGTTTCGATATCGCTCTTCGAGGCAACCTTCGCGAGTCAAGTTATCGATCACCGATCGAAAAACAAGATGTCGAGTCATATTTGAAAAGAATATTTCCTCCGCCATTTATCTCCTCTCCCGGAAAAACCTGAAAGTAATTACGAAATTACGACGATTATTCTGGAAATTGTAATGTCTGTTTATCTCCAGTTTAAATAAAAACCGGGCTAACGAAGCACTTTGTCGTACCATTTTTTTTTGACTTGCTTTTTTAGGCCGCGATCAATGTGCATTTTAGTGGAGGTGCAAAAATGACTGCACTTCCCTGGATATTAATTCCAGTGCATAAAAGTCGGAAAAAATCCGCGCCCGTGAGCTATCATTGTCAAGGACAGCATCAAGTTTCTTGATAAAGAAAGCTGCGAGGAAATCGGATGCAGGAAAAAGATAAAAATGCACCGAGGAGCAATCTGCATGGATGAACGAAAGATGCACCCCGAGAAAATGCACATTCGAGTCGGCATGAATAATTCTTGAGATTTTTACAGTTCTCGGGAAATAGATGAATTGTCGGTTGATTTTATTAATAAAACTGGGACTTATCTTACTGTGGATTTTTTTGTCTTAATCCGAGCCGATTAATATTGACCGACGATGCAGGAAGTCTATGCAGATCGGAAGGTCGACTGCAACTGCAGCCTGCAATTAACGTGACAATGGTAACAAAGCTGAAAAATTCGTCGAAGGAGGAATTTATATTCAGGACGAAAATGATTAATGTCTCTGGCTTGTATTAATAAAATAATTCGATGTTTATATTGTACCTTCTTCGAGAGGACGTCGAAGCTTGCGTAGTGAAATATTATTGAATATCGATAACTCTCGGAGGATTTTATGGCTTTGAGTCGCAATTAAACTCGGTGCCTTTCCCTTGGCGAGCAGACGATAAATAATCGGTCGATTTGCCGACATCGGGTAGGAAAATTAATTTGGAATTTGGAATTTAGACCTTAGTCAATGTAACTTGCAGTATCCAAGAGCGGTATCACGGCCAGACGAAAAGTAGACGTTGCTCTCCGACTCGAGTTTAATTAATTGCCCATTATTATCGTCATACATACAGACTAAACAAATTGAGAGACACCGTGGCCATCTGTTACCGGTCTTTCTTTCGAAATCCCGTATCTCTAGCTGGTAAGGTTCAGGCATTCCTCGTATTTCCAAAGAGCCGGGTGATTTGAGACCTGCTAATTGCAGTTGCACAACCGAGCTCTTCCCCAATTAAATTGCAGCATTATTTGTTTATATTTCCGACGCGAGAGCGGTCGAGAATGTGAAAAATCGGGGATTTCTCCGCTAACCGTACGTCGTATCAAAATATGCTTCCTTTGAGAATTACTCGGAACAATGTGGCGAGCAATTTTTGTATAAACCACTTTTTTGTAGGATGTTGTTTTCCTTGCCAAATCGACGCTTAATGTGCGACGTCCGATCCCGCGGTTACACTTCCGCCGGGAGGATACTAATCTGATGACCCGTCGAGATTATTATCGGGTCGATCTGGAGGCGTGATAATGGAGTGTTTTTCCTCTCTGCAACATAGCCTTAGGGCTGAATGCATCATTTGCAGTCACGTTGCAACTGCAGGCCACGTGATATTTCCTGACTTGGGCGAAATCGCAGCCATGTTGATTCGCGGTTACGAGACTTCGCATTTCGGTTTCCTGTCGGTGAGAATTAATCTCTGTTAATTTCCGCCGAGGTGCATCCGCAGATTCGCGTATAATAATTAACGCATTGTGCATAAATACTCACTTTGCAAGGGAGAAACGAAGCTAACCGAAGTCTGCAGTTTGGCGAAATTTAACACCCGGGTTTTGGATAACAGGAAAACCTAATCGCAAATTGGCACGAATTGCGAATTCCTCCGGATCTCCTATCAAGTATCGCATCCTCTCGGGAATTGCGTCGACTTGCCTCAATCAAGTGAAATCGTTTCCGCGAAGTTGCATAAAAAGACTGTTTATACCAGAAGGGTGGAAATGTAGAAATGTCCCATTTCGGCAAGTTTTTCTTCGTCGGGTAAATAGAATGGCGGTGGGAAAATGTATATGTCTCCTGGAAGAATAATTAATTATTACTACTTTAATCTAAGAGTGCTTCGTATTTATGCAAATGCAATTAGGATGACTTGTCCGAGTAATCAATCTTGGGACGGTCTGAACTAATGTTGCCGTTTGCCCGCTTTCGTCATTTCGCCCTCTTTTTTGTAAGGGTTTTTGCCGATGAACACACTCACGGTCCGTAATTACCTGAATCTAAACGTCGGAATTGCCGCTGGTGGTAGCTTCGATGAATCAGGATGACGCCGCCTCGCTTTCCATATATTACCTCGATTCTCTGAGAAACTCTCGAATAAGAATTCCCCCGAAGGAATAAAATAAATAATAGGGCAATTTCACCGTTATTACGCATCTATTTTGACAGCAATTCGCCCTGAATACCTATTTTAAGTGCATCGGCATTAATAGCCCCGCGCGGCTGAAAAATCAAGATGGCGGCGCGCGACACTCCATACGATGAGAATTCCCAGATATGGAATAAAATGGAATAAAAATTCCCCCGAGGGATATAACAGTCATTGATGTAACGCATGTCATCGGTAGATCCCGTTTTTCATGACAATTCGACCGTAACTCCTGTTGGAAGGTCCTCTCTCTCCGAATAATCCCGCGCTGCGCACGTGCCGGGAAATCCAAGATGGCGGCGCGCACCGCCTCGAGATATCGAGGCGCGGGTCATCGATACTACGGCGACACTCGGTGCGTGCACTTGGTCGACTTTGGCCCCCTCCCGCTGCCGCGGTATACCGGGTGGCGGCGTCGCGGTCAATGGCGACGACGCTCCTCCCGGTCACTCGCCGCCGGGCCGTCAGTCGCCCTCGAGACGCGGAGGCGCGAGGATCGCACCCGTTAGTCGCGCGCAACCTCGGCCCTCTCGCGGCCCGAATCCCCGGCCAGTCCCGGCAGTTGGCGTCCGTCCGTCGCGCGGGACGCATCGAAGGACTTCCGCTTTTTTTTTTTCCTCTCTCTTCCGCGACTCCTCGACGAGCTTTCGCCGAGGAAAGCTCGGCTCCGCCCCGGAGAGGAACTCGACCCTTCGGAGAGATCACCGAGAGACCCCCACGGTCTGCGCGATCTGCCTCTCCTCTTCGTACATTGGCACTTTAGTTTTACCTTTTTTTATACGGCCGCGCGGTTCTACGCCTCCGTTCCTCGCTGCCGAGACGCCGGAAGGAATCTGCGAGCCCTGACCGTTCGCGGAGTCGACACCCGCGTCGACGTGTAAGCCTCCTTTCTTTCCGTCGTACTTGAAATTCCTCCACCTTGATTTTTTTTTTCTACCTCCCTTTTTTAATTTCACTTCTTGCGGTTAGCCTTAAATTCTTACATTGGGATTTATAGGTACGTAATCGTTTCAGGACGGTGTTATCCACGCTAGTACCGGCTCGCACGCCGTCCCGGTAGAGCTTTCGAAAGTTTAAAGTGTCGACTCGACGATCTTTGTACGCACCGGCGTGCCTAAGTAGAGTTAGGAAAGCAGAGAGAGAGATATATATACTCGAAATGAAGCTCGAAGGTAACTGCTCGAGAGACGACGACGCGTCCAACGGGATCCTCATGCAATCCAGGAAGGGATCAGCTGTTCGGCTCCAGATCACGCCGATCCAGCCCAAGACCATCACCCATCTTCCTAAGAGGCCGCCCGTCGACCTCGCCTTCTCCGACCTCGTCTACAAGGTCCGGGAGGGACGCAAGAGCAGTAAGTCCGATCTCTACAATTTATAAAGGTTTATCCATCTAAGGTGACACGAAAGTGTCATGTATACATACCAAAAAAAAAATCTTCACTTTTTTACAATTGTTGGTAGAGGCTAGGCATTTTTTTTTCTTTTCTTGACGTTATAGCGAATTTTGCAGGAAATTCATTTTTACCTCCGATTGTTGATCTTCTGTACTTCGAACACTGTTCGGCGGTTGGCTGAGCTTTTCCATCCTTTTCCACTCGCTAGGAGAAAAGGAAAAAAAAGTGTCACGGGAAAATTGAAGAAATTGGGAGAAAAAAAAGTTCATCTCTAGGTGCGTACGTTCCCTTGAATCGTGAGAAAATGCATTCCGAGAAGTTATGACGTGACAAAGTAATAAAACGGGGGGGAGGGGGGGGGAGGGGACGTGCGTTACGGTCGTCCGAAGAAGTATGTAGGTGTCTCCGGTGTTTTTTTTGCCCGATGAAAAACCCGCAATCCGAACGGAACTACCAATTAAACGGTAGTAAACGGATTGTAAAAAGAGAAAATGGGAAAATTCAAGAAAGGCAGATTTTTCTTTCCCGTTTTACTCGATGCGAGAGTACGGACTTAAGGCGGGTTCAAGTGCGTTCGTTGCGTAAATTATGCAACCGGGAGTCTGGCTCAACTACGAGTTTTCTAGGGGGAAAGGAGCTGTGCTGTGATTTTTATTTCTCTCTCCCATATTTTTTTTTTTTCTCCCCCCTATATCGAAATCGAGCCTTGACCGAGTATCTCGTGGAAAGTCCAATTGACGCGTATGCGATCGCTACGAATGTTTTTCTTTTTTTTTTTTTTTTCTTTCCGCGAGATAAAAGAGATTAATTATATTGCCTCGCGATTACCTTTTATTTTGGTACTAATTTTTCAGGGGAAAGAAGTATTTTTTTTTTTTTGCGGTTTTTCCATGACAGTGGAAAATTACGCGCAGGGTCAGACAGTCGAGGTGGTGACTTCGATGCCTTGAATGGTAATTGAAAATCGAGGGGAGATCAATTGAAATTCATGGTTAGGTAATCTTGGAATAGCTGCCTGACCTTTGCCACCTTTTTTGCCATTACCTTTTTCTAGGTGGAAAAAGGTGGGGAAGGTCAGGCAATCGACTAGGACGCGAAAGTGGATCAGCGATCGGGCGCCATTTAAAGGCGCCGGATTGGAACGGGGAACTGGTTCCAGGTGACATTGACCGCCGAGTGAAAGTGCACGATCGCAAGTTGCAAGTGCAATTTACTCGTTGCTATTCACCTGGGAGAAGCGATTCCCAGGGGTTTGGGGGGAGAAAGATCTCGGGTGCGAAACCGCCGGCGAAAAGTCCCAAGATCGGAGATCGAAGCGTCCTTGCCCTCCATCCTCGGTGGATCGAGTTAAATCGAGTTGGCGACACTTATCGCACTTTTCGAGCCACCTCTCCGTTATCACCGACTTGCTACCGGGTTCTTATCGACGCCCGAGTCGTCAAGAAGCGATCGACGAGCCGATATTTCCGATCTATTATTTTTTTTGACAATCCAAACTTTATCGGAGCTTCCTAAGGTGGGAGCCTTATCGGTAATCCAGAAATTAGTTTCGAGGGGCTGGAGCTCGTTGCAATGATTATCTCTACCAATAGATTCGATGAAAACGAAAATATATATACGTATATTATACGTTTATGGAGTATAGAGAGGTGAACGTCGATCGAGGCCGTCTCGCCGAGGTCGTCGGGTTTTAATTTCGAATCGCTCGCTCTCCGTCGAATTTATACATACGAATTGTAGTTTCGATATTTCGATGATTGGATCTTCGACGACGCGAAATTGATAATTTTCTCGCTATATTCGGAGGGGTGAAGAATCCAAGGCAAGGTAGGGTCTAATACTGCCATGCTGACTCCTTGGAAAAATTCTTCCTATCGTCGATTTTTTTTATATACATATATTTCTTTTGGGAGGGTTATTTCTCCATTCTCGCCGGAGATCGACTTGAATAAGACCGAGATTGCAGACTTTCAGACAGGCGCCGAGGGAATGGGATTAGTGGCCGCGATTTTGCAAGAAGACCGGTTGCAGCGATTATACGGCGTTTCTAAAGCGATATGCAAGAGCTGAAGCTATAGTTGCCTGACCTTCGGAAGTATCTTTTTTAATTATTTTTTTTTTTTAATGTTGCCGCGATTCGCCGCAAAGCCTCATCGGGGTCACTATCGATAAATCGGCGGGGTAGGCGGAGAGTGCAACAGGTGCATCCGTGATACCCTTTATAATGTATCCTCTTTTNAATCGGCGGGGCAGGCGGAGAGTGCAACAGGTGCATCCGTGATATCCTCTATAATGTATCCTCTTTTCTAAGGCTTTGCAAAAAAGCCTTAGAAAAATGATTCGAACGATAATGGAGGAATAGGAAGGCTGGACTCCTTGTTTGGAATAAGTACAAGGCTGCTCGAGGCGCCTCGAAAAAAGGAAAATGGAAAATTAACGGAGAGACCGATCTAACGACAATAGACGACAATCTAGGTAAATCAGTAGATAATGACCGAGTGTAAATCATCCTGACTAACCAGCTTCAATGTAGCTCCGGGACTTATCAGCCTCGGGGAAATCATTTTTCTCCTGGCATCCATAATTAATGTCCTTTGTTCACGGTTAGCGGGGAAGCCTCGAACGTTGTTGCGGAATCGGGAAAGAAAGGGGCAAGGCTCGGTATCTCTCTCGGAAAATCCCTGGAATGACATTTTTTCAACGTATTGCCCGGCTAGAAATTAAATCGCTTTACTTCATTTACGGATTATCAGCTATTACGTGACGGCGCCTCCTCACGTATTCTCCGATTGCTCACGTTGACAATTTCTTTTTCCTTTTTTTTTTCCTTTTTTTCTCCTCATTCTTTGGACGCGGCGAAGTGCACTTTTTCGGCTTGGAGAGGCTCTGCAACTTTCTGACCGAGCATCGAGGCTTTCCGTCCCACTTTGATAAGAGATAGCGCGGGACGGGCCATCGAGAGATATTCCGCAAAAATGGGAGATATAAAAATTGCAGAATAATTTATAAAAAATCCCCGGACATTCCTCTCGACTGCGGATCGCTTTTGATGTTACTTTAAGAGTCTCATGAGACACGCAACGTATGTGGAGAATTATTCGTCCGGCCACTCTCGGTGAGTAGGTCATGCCAAAGAGAAGTCAAGTCTTGTCCTCCGTATCAGTCGCTATCGCGCACATTCACACAGTGATTACCAGACCACGAGGTTCTGTCAACAAGTGTCCGATCTCTGATCTGCATTTCGCTATCGAATCGGTCCCCGATTTGCCTCTCGTTACCGACAGATTCGATCTCCTAGGGGGACACTTTTTCTAGATTTTTTAATTTATTTATTTTTTTTTTTTTTTCCACCTCGAAATTAATTTTTCTCCCCGCAATATCGACGCCTCGCTCGTACGGGGGATTAAAAAATCCCGGTTGCAAAACTACGAAGCCCGGCTTGTTGAATATACATATGCATGTGGACATGTATATATACCGGTTTTATTCCCTGTCGCAACGATTACACTGTTTCCTTTCTAGCCTCCACTTTCCTCCACTTTGTTCCCACAGGGCGACACGGTTTCGCGTTTAGAGAGTTGTTATAATGCTCGGTGGAAATTATGCTCACTTAAAATGGAGGATGGATGATGCCTTTTGCAATTCGGAGCCTCGAACGAGGGCGGAACGACGAGGAGACGCAAATGCGTTTGCTGATTGCCATTTTTTTTTTTTTTTTTCACGGGGAAAATATCATCACACTTGAAATTCAACATTCGGTGTCGTGAAATACGGAGTATCGATCCTTGTCGATTATTTTAAGGTTTAAAATACTCTAGGATTTTTTTTCTTTTCAATTATTAACCCTGGTTTCTAGATCATTTTTGGGTTATCAGGAAATTGATTTTTCTTTCTTGTTTTTTCTCCCACATTTTCCGAGGTCGCAGGCTAATCTCCAGTTGTTCTCGGCTTGTTGTCTACGCGTTTTGCAAATTAATATTTATGCCGAGGCCAGGCTTGGCGCGACTCGCCGGATGAAAAAGAGGATTAGGAAAAACGAGACAATGCGCTGTTAACGAGCACGCAGGTGCGTGGAAAAGTGTCGCTATCTATGTATCAGCTGTTTTTCTTTTTTTTGCTTTTAGCTTGAAAACAAAACTAGCCGTCATTTTCTAGCCGGTTGGCGTTAAATCGAAACAGGTCGGTCGTCACGTTTCATTCCTATGGGTGGCATTGTCGATACATTGTTAATAGACATTTTTTTCCCTCATAAGGGGGGTTTAATTAGGGGTCGTTATTTCCATGGCCGTCGACCGAGTATCGGTACTCGCAGTGGCGGAGGAAATTTCTGATAGAAATTATTTAATAGACATTTCTCGTTTGATCAATCCTTGAAAATTTCCGATGCGTATTAAAATACTCGATACATTGTTAATAGACATTTTTTTCCCTCATAAGGGGGGTTTAATTAGTGGTCGTTATTTCCATGGCCGTCGACCGAGTATCGGTACTCGCGAGTACTCCTTGTTGCGGAGTGGCGGAGGAAATTTCTGATAGAAATTATTTAATAGACATTTCTCGTTTAATCAATCCTTGAAAATTTCCGATGCGCATTAAAAATATCCATTACCAGTGGGCACTTTTAAATCCAATAATTAGGCGTCTACTTAGGGACTTGCTTTTTCTACTCGGCGCTAAAAAGTAAATGCCGACTATGTTAATTTGTTAACGAGCAAAGTACTCGTAATCCTGACTTGTAACCGCGTATGTACGTAAAGTGCACATTTGCATGGGGAAACTGCACTGTTGATATTAATTAGATCATTTATTATATTAATCGAGCTCTTAACTCCGAAATGGCAATGTTCTCGGCCGTATTGTTAATAGACATTTTTCATGCGATATTCGAGCGTCTACTCCGAATCGGGACATTTAATGGCTCCTCGCTCTGAAACGGATGTGCACGTCCGTATGACCGACCAACCGTGGACAATTACATGACTACTCGACTTTGGTCAACAACAAGTCTACGTAACGCACTGCGGAGGCCTTCTTGAAATTTCACAATCCCAGGCTGTAGGTATTCTACCGAAAGAGAGATAGAAGTGTCCATAAACTCGGCAGAGTTTCGCGCCAAGTGCATTTGAATACCCACGAATGGCGCCGAGGACGTTAACGACGATCTTGGAGGATTTCTAATTGATAAATGTTCATTTCTCGATCGAAAGGACTTATCAGACATCAACGGGTGGCCTTGTTAAACCATCTTCCGTTTCCTAGATGTACTTGGAGTACACCTGGATGTTTAGAATTGAGCTAAGGAAATTAAAAGTGCCCCGGATCAATGTCGCGCGTCGACAATCTGCGCTCTTGATAAGGAGACTCGAGAAAGAGATAAAAAAAATCGTTCCAGGTGGTACTCGAAAACCCGAGATGTCACGTCTCGAATCTCGCATTGACAAAAGTCTCACGACCTCCCCACGTGCTGGGAATTCGGGATTTTTAAAATGGAGGGGAAGAAAAAAATAAATAAAAATGGGAAAAAGGAAGGAATTAAAGAGCCGCGGAAATCTTTCCTTCTCTCCGGCCGCGGAAACAGCTGATCGCTTGTCGCGTCACGTCAGTTGTCAATGTAGGCTTGCCTTCCCAGTTTATTTTCTACTCTTTCATTATTATTATTTGTTTTCCTTCGTTGTCGTTGTCGTTTTTTTTTTTCTATTTTTTCTTCCTTTCCCGACGAATGGCGAGTGATTACGCGATGACGCCGCAATGTCGAGCGCAATGACGATCGTAATTATTCCTCGATTGCCCGAAATTGCAGGGCGGTCATACGCCGTGATTACAAGTCATGCCACGGTTTGTTGTCTCCTCTCGACCGACTTTGCTTAGCGGAATGCTGCAATTATTCGGGGATGATTTTTAGCCGTGAGTTATTTTTTTTTCCATTCGAGAATTAATTATTAAAATTCGGAAAGATAAATCGGAATTAATCGGAATCGTACGAGGTCACGTTTGAAATTGACATTGAAATTCGGGGAGATTAAATCCGACGGGGGAATTAATTCGGATTCGACGTAATTATATTAAGCTCGCCAAATCGCGATGTTGGATGTTTTCCTTTCTTCTTCTTTTTTTTTTTCTCTCTTTTTGTCCAGGGTTTCGAACTATCTCCCGGGGGTCGGCATTATCGTGGAACTGGCTCTCTTCCGTCGATCTTGCTCGGAGATTTACGATTCTGTAAATTATCCTAGTTTCCGAGTAGGTGTTGCAATAAACTCCACTCGCAGTTGCGCAATCGCGAGCTAGATCGCAACTCGGTTTGCGATTCCGTCGCGCCGTTGAAACTCCTCGTTACACGTCACTTGTATATTCCCCTGGTTCTCAAAAAGAAGGAAAGGAAAAAAAAATAAAAAATAATCTCTCCTGATAAATTCCCAACTTTAAAAAATCCTAATGTGTTATATTTTAGGGTATTATATGTGTATAGATATGTTTTGTTTTGTTTTTTTTCCTTCATTTTCGTGCATCTCGCTTTTTGCGCTGTTTTTCATCTCTGTTGACGTCTCTCCGCTATCGGACGAGGAAAATACGCGTTTGCATGTCGAGGCAACTTCCTCGGTACTTTGGGACCGTACCGAGAGTAAACCCGAGATTTACGAGAGTTCCTCATACGTCTCGACGCGGTCTCTCAGGAGTGCTCGAAGACGTCATCTTAAAGAGCTCCTCGTGGCCACGACCTGCCCCAAGGATGGCTTAAGTGCCCTAGGGCTCGATTCTTACCACCCGTCCTCTTCCCCAACATTTTCTTCCTTCGACTCATTGTCGATAAGGATCAAGAAAGGAATTAATATAAATTGTAATGTCTCCATGAAGCCCGAAAATCCATTTTATCGTCGATTAATTCGGAGGAGCCCGGAAAATGAATTGGAATTTTTTAAATAGGAAATTCTGGGGATTCCCTCGATTTTATCTTTCTTTCTTTTTTTTTTTCATTTCCTTCCTCTCGGTGTTTAAATATTTATCTGTGAAATCCAAAAACCTGGTTTTCCTTTCCACGTGAAATTTCCGCTTTTCGGAAGTCGGAAAAGAATTTCAAAGTGCGGTTCTTTTTTTCTCGGGAATTTTGCATGACTCCTTTTTTTTTTTTACGAGCGCGAGTAATGACACTGCAAGTGTCTCTCTTCTTCCTGTACGTGTCATTTGTGCGACCATATCGTGACATAATCGCGATAACGGAGGAGCCTTTGGAGTAACTCTGGTATAATTGGGGGGGAAAAGTGCGTGCGACGGTCGATGCGGATATTAATATTCCGCTTGCGGGACTTCTTTGTCTTTTCGCATTGTGCTGCACCTCTCCTCTCTCTCCCTCCCTCCTTGTTTATTCCCGGCGAATGCGCGATACCGAGGAAACGCGGCTTGACCCTGGAAAATGCACTTTGACCTCCTCCTGAAAATTCCGAAAAAGCAAAACTCGTCTTCTTACTTTATACACCATTCACCTCCAAAATAAATCGAGGGAACCAAGTGAAAAATTGGACGTTACATGTCATCTTTCTTTTTCCTTCTGCCCTCGTGAAATTACATCGCTAATTTTCATTTCTCGACCACGGAAAGTGGGTTAACGAGAGCTTGACATTGCGTGGTTTTTTTTTTTCCCCAGTCCGATTTTCAAAATTCCTTGAAAATTAAATTTTGCAATTTTTAGATGTATTTTTTTTTTTTTTTTTCGTGGGAAACGAGGGGATGAAAATTTGAGTGGATGTGTCGGTGTTCTTTGGTGTCAAGTTTTTTTTTCGTAATTTCGACCAGAGATATCTTGGTATGATGAGGGCTGGGTCCAACAGTGTTTCCGGGGCACTTGTTATCAATGACAATACGGTGTCGGCTTATCAGGCCTATTTTCGAACAAGTGCCGGTGCATCCTACTTTGATACCGAATGATTCAGCCGCCGGTGACAAAGTCGCGGATCGAAGCTGTGGACTTTGGCCTCTTATCAGAGCCCGGTTCTCTTTGTGGTATTCTTTGTTCCGACGTGATATCGCGTACTACAATGTGCGATGTTTATCGCGGGCTTACGTAAATAATGGCCGGAGAACCGATGAACTTGCGCGGTTCAATGCCGAAGCGGTGAGGTCGCTTCAAAGAGCTTTCACTGTTGAAAAATATCGAAACTTTGCGATACCTATGTTCAAAGGCAACGCACACACTTGAAACCCTGCGTGAGGATTTTTTTTTTCGGAAATTTCATCTCTACAATTGTCAAACATTTACAATAACGCGCAGCTGATGGAAGGAGAATTTTATTGATTAAACCGAAATAATTGTCCACGGGTTTTTTTTTTTTTTTTTTCATGACATTGCACCCCGATTTACCGATCTCATAGATCTATTTAGTGATTTATCATGAAATTATAATAAGTCACCGTCGAGAGGTCGAAATGATTAATTTACTGCGATTCAACGAATGGCCGAATTTTTATTTTCACGGTATTTCGATCGATTTTCCTGAATCTTTTTTTCGGTAATTCGGATACACGGTTTTTTGGCGATTTCATGATTTCATTCTTCTTATCAGATACCAAGACCATCCTGAAGTCCGTCAGTGGGAGGCTGCGGTCCGGCGAGCTGACGGCCATCATGGGCCCGTCTGGCGCCGGGAAGTCGACTTTGCTCAACATCCTCACGGGATACAAGTGAGTGGGACCATTATGTCTCGGCTCCCGGATTTTGTTTTTTTTTTCTCTCTCTCTCCTTTCTTTCGGGGCCCCAGAAACGGGAACTATTCCTCCGGGGAGAGTGAGCTACGCGAATTGCGCAAGCAAATTGGAGGGCAAATTGGTGGGGAATGCAAAAGGCCTTTCCCCGGTGTTGAGTTTCGTCCACGAGTCTCTGTCAAAGGAAACCGAAGGAGAACTGTTAAGAAATGTTAAAAAAATGTTTAGAGTCCCCCGGTACCTTCGTACCTTACGTCCCGAATCCCTGCGAATGTGTGTGAAAACTTATGGGACAAAGAAAGAGGAGGGAAAAAAAACCGTAAAATGGCGAAATACAGATTTTTTTATGTGCCCATAATTATGAAAGTGGTCTAAGTCATATATTTTTTGTTTCGAAATTACATTGAATTCATTTCGTTTGAAATAATATGGCGTGAAATAACTGATAAACTCATTTTTTTTTTTTTTTAATTTTGACTTAGACCACTTTCACAATTATGGGCACAATTGAATGCGAAAATTATGAAAGTGGTCTGTCATATATTTTTTGTTTCGAAATTACATTGAATTCATTTCGTTTGAAATAATATGGCGTGAAATAACTGATAAACTCATTTTTTTTTTTTAATTTTGACTTAGACCACTTTCATAATTATGGGCACATATGTATAATGAAATGTACCATCCAGGTATTTTCGAAGATGTTTTGACAGTGGTCGGTCCTTATCAGCGCCTGGAAAATTACTGATAAATTTCTAGGGCAGGGAGGGGATTTTAATTAATTACTGAGAAATCATCGAGAAAAAAGGGATAACGCCGTTCGCGCGCTTTCTCGGCGGGCGCGGGTTCAAATCCCCGGAGGTGTAGACTTTTTTTTTTTTTCCCCTCCTTTCTCGTTTGTCTCTCCTTTTCTCGCGAAGTTTGGCCAAGGATTTTCGAAAGTCGACTCGCCGGAAGAAAGCGACATGAGGTTGTGGGTATTCGACCGAGCGGATCGGCCGGTAAGAGTACCTTCGCTTTCTTCGGATAATAATCATGGCTACGATGACCTGGACGACAATGACGGGCCTCTGCTTCCAGGTCGCATACGAGATGACTTTCGAGAGGCCCCTCTGGGTACCCGGAAGAATCGGCGATATTTTTGCTTCCTAGGAAAAAAAAAAAAAGAAAAAGAAAAGTGAAACCGCTCGAAACTACTTTTTTATTATTATATTAGGATGATTATGGATTAGTCGTTGGGCATTAAAAATTAAATGATCCGTTGCTAAAATATACTATATACATCCTATTTAATTTAATATCCATTTTTTTTTAGAGTTCTTCGACCTTTTTTTTTTTTTTCTTTTGGAATCCAGAATTTATGACAATGATGGATTTGATGTCAAGGGAGGACCTTTTGAGCGAGAAATGCATGGTGCATGTCTTTAATAATAATAAAGGGTCGTTATCCTAGTAATTACCCTTGGTGCACCGACGTTCGGAAATCCTTACCTTGCACTTTTTGCAATGTCAAATATTTTCGCGGTCAACGCTGCGTTTAGCCAGCGACTCTTTTACGCTTCCTAGTGTTGGACGATTTCGTATTTTTTTTTTTTTTTTTTAATGATTGTTGAATGATCCGGTTCTTTTTTTCGGGGATTTTCAGGACGACGGGAGTCGAGGGCAGCATCACCATGAACGGCCACGAGAGGAATCTCAGTGCCTTCAGGAAGTTGTCTTGTTACATCATGCAGGACAATCAGCTGCACGGCAATCTCACTGTTGAGGAGGCCATGAAGGTCGCCTCGAGCCTCAAGTTGAGCAGCAACATCAGCAAGGCTGAAAAGGAGGAACTGGTGAGACTTAGCGAATCGACCGTAAAATGAAAAAGAGAAAGAAAGTGTATATACTCCGTACCCCCTAAACTAAAACCCCTGGACGTCGCGATGCCTCTCGACAATTTCTACGTCAACAATAAACTTCTCTGTCCACGTAAAAGTTCCTCCAGCCGATGTTGAAGAGGAGGGGTCGGGTTGGGTCGATGGCGTAACTATGACCGGCGTAATGAAAGCACTTCGGATATTCCAATTTCCCTCAGTTACGATATTTTCTCCACTATTCCCGGGCAGAAGGAATCCCGAAAACGAGGTTTTACAAGAGATAGACCTTCCGGATGGCAATTAGTTAATAAATATTCCGATTTTCTCGCCACCCTCCGCCTTGTTATAAAGAATAAATAAATTCCTGTTACGTGAATTCGATGATTCGTCTGGAGGTGGACTCGATGTTCAGACATGTTAATTCTACAGGCCGGTTAATTAGCTATTTTGACGCCGCTTTGTATATCTAGATCGCAATTTTTTAAGCGTCTTTATTGGCGCAGTTTGATGGTTCTATGATTATAGGAGATTGTTGGGAAATGGTAGACAGTGATAAGAGTGATAGATGAAATATTATGTGCCAACAGATTCAGGAGATCCTGGAGACGCTCGGCTTGGCAGACCACAGGAAGACCATGACGGCGAATCTGAGCGGCGGCCAGAAGAAGAGGCTTTCGATCGCCCTGGAGCTCGTTAACAATCCGCCGATAATGTTCTTCGACGAGCCCACGAGGTGAGCTTGAGAACGACACTTCCGGCGGTTCGATGACCACAATAGAGCGACTTAGGGCTTGACCCGGTTCGAGGCCATTGGTCGCGTCGCGACTGTGACGTCAATGGTCCCTCTGGTACCGCCGGCGACGCCATCTTGGATCCTGACTCGAATGCAAATCGACGCGGCCTCGGTCGGCACAATTTTTCGGATATTTCTCCCCCGTACCCCCTATCTTACGATTCGCATGAGAGAAAAAGAAAAAGAAAAGAAATACGATAGCGTGTACAATTGTCTAAATATATTTCTCTAGAATACCTTGTATATAAATTCTCGACGAGCGACGCCATGTTACCCTAACTTCATATTTTCGAGATTTAAACGCGTAAATATTGCAAATCTTACTTAGAGGAGGGGGATTCGACGGAGAATCGTAAGATGCAAGGAGGGTTCATTTAAGAGAAAGGTTGCGAAAGGAAAAATTAAAGATGGACGCTTACCTTTTTCTTTTTCCTTCGTGGATCGTAAGAGAGGCGGGCCGAGAGGAAGCGGCGACGATTCGCTTCTCTCCTTTTCGTCAAGTGCACTTTCTAGCGAGTAAAAGTGTCAACGGCGGGTGTGCGAGAGACCATCCAGAGTAATTTGAGGTAGAGAGCGAGAGAAAGTGCCCTCTTCTCTTTCGACAGATCTTCCTGTCTCTTCTGGGTTATGGTGGACGCGTGGGTGGACTCTTCGGCGCCGGATTGGTCTCCTCTTCCTGGGGACCGGAAATGGACGATTCAAACAATAAAGTGGCCCTGAAATAGACAATCTCACCTCGAGATTACCCTCGGGGGTGGAGGATGTCCTTGAAGAGGCGAACGAGAGTCACCGGGATATCCTGTCGCGGTGGTTTCGACTCCCAAAACGAAGTCCTCGGGAACTGGTCGGGAATATTCTCTCCTGAGATATATAGGGACCTAGCCGCAGCTGTTTGTCACCCCCAAACTGGTTCCTGAAGGTCCTGTGGTTTTCCGCATGATCCTTTTTCTTTCTTCGGCTTGTGCGCACCTAAAAACCCGTCGACGACTTGCTCGGGTCGAGCCGAAGGTCTGCGGCCATTGCTCGATGAGATTTCCGTTTTCTTTTTTTTTTTTCTTCTCTCCTCCTGCGAGGAATAAAATCCCCGATCGCGACCGGCGACGCCATTTTGTATCCGCGTTTCTTCCTCTTAATTAATTTTTTCTCATCCATCCTCGATGGTAATTTTTAAACCCTGATGATAGAAATAGTTGTATTTCATTTTACCGAATCTTGGGAGTGGATATTTCCATCTCGTTGCCGAAGACCCTGGCTCGGTCGTCGCTGATAATTTTTTTTCCCCCCTTCATCTCCCGCGAGTTACTTTTGATATATCAATTATGGAATATGACGAAGAGATGTCATTCTGGGTATTTTAATCATTCTTGGGAATGGCCGTGAAGTGACGTGTTTCCTTTTTTTAATTTTTCAGCGGCTTGGACTCCTCCTCCTGTTTCCAGTGCATCTCGCTGCTGAAGACCCTGGCCCGGGGTGGGCGGACCATCATCTGCACTATCCATCAACCTAGTGCACGTCTCTTCGAGATGTTCGATGCCCTTTACACCCTGGCAGAGGGTCAATGCGTTTACCAGGGGTGCACAGCCCAGCTGGTGACTTTCCTCAGGTCCCTCGGGCTGAACTGTCCCAGCTACCACAATCCGGCATCCTTCGGTAAATCCCTGATAATTATCCGTAAAAAAATTAAAATATCAGGTGTTATGTAATACTCGAAGAGCGTATTTAAATAGTGGGGGCGGAAGTCATACGTGTAATTTGTTTTGCAGTCATCGAGGTGGCTTGCGGCGAGTACGGGGACAACATCAGGAACCTGGTGAACGCGATCGACAACGGGAAACGCGACATCAGGACGGGCTACAATTTTCTGGAGCTTAAGAACGAGAGCTTGAACAATGGCGGCAACGTGAAGGACGTGGAGGATGTCAAGAGCGCAAATGGAAAGGACAAGAACGACGCGAGCAATATCGAGGAGAAGTTCCTGGACGACAAGGGGAGCAAGACAAACGGAGGGATCTTACCGAGATACGCTATGAACGACATCTCCAAGGAAAGTACGTAGTCGTCGTTGGTGGTGCACCTGAAGAGGCACATCCGGCTCCACTGGGCTTTTAACGATCTTAATTAGACGAGGGATTAATTGATGACTATGTCCCGATATTTCAATAGACCAGGGATTAATTAATAATCCTATTATTTCAATACGTAGGCGAGGGGTCGACTGATAATTCACGTTCCCTAAAATTCCTAGTTTATGTTACACGCGGATACATTTATTTAACGTCGATGTTACTTAGTCTTGTTAATTACCTTACCTTTATATACCGTCGATGTTACTTAGTCTTGTTAATTACCTAACTTGTCGCGTTTCTGCCGGGTCACTTTAGCCCCTCCTTTTTATATGTCCGGTGCAACTGGTTTGGCTGCTTTAAACACACTAGGAACCCGATTGTACCAACCCAGGGCCTAACCGTGCTTCTTTTTGCAGATGAGGTGGCGATAAACGTGGAGCTCGAGAAAAAGGAATACGTTAACACGGCGTTGCTCGACGAGACCTTGACAGTGACACCAGACAGATATCCGACCTCGGAATTCACGCAGTTCTGGGTCGTCCTGAAGAGGACCCTACTTTTCAGTAGGAGAGATTGGGTGAGTTCCTCGGGGAAGACCTACTCGTGGTGGAACCCGAGTCGGCAGAAACCGTAGGAAATTAGAATGACGAGCCATCGGACGACACAAGGGAAATCCAGTCCTAAATACTCTGCCCTACAATTTTTGTCGCCCTAAAAAAAAAAACGCGCAAAGCCTAACTCTCCCATATGTGACGGTACATTTGGACGTAGTCATGTAAATAGACTTTTTAAACCATGTCTAGTCGTCGTGACAAGTCATTCGGGATTTTTATTTATTATTTAATACTCTGGCATGTTTATGTGTAGGATATATTGCTCGTTTGTGGGGCGAGTATTGACCAGGGCTCTATTCTCGGGATGACTTATCATTCGTGGTTAGCAGTTATTTATCGGCAATGTAATGAACTGTCCGATGACGACAGGTTCTTCGCCGGCGAACGACTCACCTGGTGACTTAGTCACTGGCGAACAATGGTCGCTCGGTTTTACATTCTTTTAAGAATAGCCGCTCGCGCTCGTTGGCGCTTCCCTCGTTACATATATTAAGGTTTTTCTCCCTTAAACAATACCACGGGCGCAATAACGCTGCCCGTTGGGTAACGGAAGTGTTTCATTAACCATGCCGTGATTTCATGACCCCCTTGTCTTTCAGACCCTGATGTACCTTCGATTGTTCGCGCACATATTGGTCGGATTTCTGATCGGCGCTCTCTATTACGACATCGGGAACGACGGTGCCAAAGTCCTCAGCAACCTCGGTTTCCTCTTCTTCAACATGCTCTTCCTCATGTACACCTCGATGACCATCACAATCCTGTCGTGTGAGTGAAAGAGACGGCCTGAAAGTATATACATATACGTAAAGTATACATATAAAATACGTTGGGCACGGTAAATCCGAAGTACAGCGCGGGTAGAGAATAGATTAAATGGTTGTTACTCTTCGACGCGGCGTTACAATTGTTTATTTAATTTCCAGTCCCCCTGGAGATGCCAGTGCTCCTCAAGGAGAACTTCAACAGGTGGTACTCCCTTAAGTCGTACTACATGGCCATCACGGTGTCCGACATTCCCTTCCAGGTATTACAAAGAAATCGGAAATACGTCACTTAGTCGAGACGTTAATCCAAAGTGCGCGAATGACGTTTCCGAAGTTCGACGAGGCGATTCTATTTTTTTTTTTTTTTTTTAAACGACCGCGTCGAATTATTAACCTCGCTGGCGAAGGCCTCCCCGGAGGAATGATTCTCTTTCGCAAGGCGGGCATTAACGCTTTTTTCCTCCTCGATGAGAATCACGTTTGAGATCCTTAACATAGGCCGACATCTTCGAGGATGCCTCGTTTTACGAGGAAGTCTTCATTTTTAATGGCCCACGTGGAATCTTGAGTTTAACGCGTGACTGAGATTTGCATATCGCTGGTGATCGATCGGTGCTTAACAGTCGCGACTTCCATTTTTGTTTCTCCTCCAGGCGATATTCTGCATGATCTACGTGGTGATCGTCTACTTCCTTACGAGCCAGCCTACCGAGATGTCGAGGTTCACCATGTTCACCTCTGCCTGTTTGCTGATCTCCTTCGTCGCCCAGTCGGTGGGCCTCGTCGTGGGGGCGGCGATGAACGTCCAAAATGGAGTGTTCCTGGCCCCGGTCATGTCCGTGCCGTTCCTCCTTTTCTCCGGTTTCTTCGTCAGCTTCGACGCCATACCGGTGTACCTCAGATGGATTACCTACCTGAGCTACATCAGGTACGGCTTCGAGGGCACAGCTCTGTCGATCTACTCGTTCGCTCGCACGAAGCTGAAGTGCTTCCAGGTACGACTTGCAAGAACAATTTTTCTTATTATGGTTCCTCTTCAATGAAACACGGGCAAGGCCTGTCCTGAAGGAAACATTATGAATAATTAGTAGTAATCCTCGTGGAATCGATTTTAATATCCACAAGGGATGTAAGAACGGAGGGGACTAAGATTGTGATCTCTCCTCAAGGTCTACTGCCATTTCAAAAATCCGAAAACGACCCTGGAAGAGCTGGACATGCTCGACGCCGACTTCACCCTCGACATCCTGGCCCTCCTGCTGATCTTCGTGCTCCTGCGGATCGCAGCCTACATGTTCCTCCGGTGGAAGCTGAAGACCGCCCGATAGGACCTCCGCAGTCTCGATCTCTCCCCCAAATCGCCTTAAGGCCGGATCACTGCCGCCGCAGTTCCGCATGCGAATAAACGCGCTCCCGCGTTCTTAAACGGCCAGAAAACCCGACCGCGTGTAGGTCTACCGAAGGGTTTCGAGAGAAAGGAGGTCCGGCAACACCTGGAAAATGGAAATTTATATGTAGACGTAGAAGGACGATGAGAGCCCCTGGCTCGCGCGGGGTGGGGGGTCGGCCGGACCAATCAGAGCGCAGAGTGGAGGGGCGCGGACCAATGGGAGCGCAGCGAGGCGCTTCAGTCCAACGACTCTCATTCCAGGGCCCCTCCACTCGCTGATTTTTCTCCGGATAACTCATGCGGATGATAATAATCCGCTTTCTCCATCTCTCTGATCACCCGGAAGAGACCCAACGTCTACAAGACACGAAACTACAGAGTCCGGTTTACCCGCGAACCCGAACTGGCTCGTCGCGGGAGCGTAGTTTTTTCTATCCGATTTTTATTACATTCGACTTTATTTTTCTAAGTCTAGCTCGTAAGTCTTACTCGCCTAAGCCGTAATCTGTAAAGTAATTTATTTATCCAGTTATTGTCCGGATGTGAAACAAACAAACAAAAAAAAAGCAACTGACTAAGTGGTTAGCCATCGTTACGACGCATTCGATGTTCAGGGTATCGTGTCTCTAATCGTCTGTTTCGCTGGATTTCTCTTGTTCTTCTTGGATTTTTTTTTTTAATTCTTTTTCTTTTATTTCTTGTTCGCTAAACTCAGACTCGTAGTTGGCTCGGTGCCTTCGCTACCGGTCGGTCTGTCGATGACTGATCGATCCTTACGAGAATCTGGTACATGGAGTACTATCCAGGGATCACTTTAATTTTTCTTTTCTTTTTTCTTTTTTTTTCAGTCGGAGGAATTAATATTTTAAGCGCATTCGGACTGTGTCCAGATATGATACAAGAAAAATTATTTGGCTTCGTGGGAAAAAAATATTGCTCCGTCAATGTCTTTTTGACATTTTTAACGTCTCCGTCGACTGAAGATATGTAATCGTGACCCTGGAAAAAATTAACGCTAAATCGCTGTTATACGGAACGTTTAATAGGCTCTACGTGGCGCAAAATGTCCGAACGTTTATACAGATTTTTCTATTCGATTTTATATTATTCCAAGGTTTTTAAGTCGTTTTTTACGCAGGTCCGCACGTACTCTAGATTGAACATTGTCCGAGGTACACTCAGTTAGTAATGTCAATAGGATTAATGTATGCCAACACGTGTAAACTGTAAGCCGATTATACAAAGTCGGACATTTTGGGGCGTAACGGCCGCTTTACACGTTTTCTTACAAATGTTTAGTAGGTCTCCTGACACGCCATTGGAGTGGTAGCGACATGTTTTTTTTTGTTTTTTTTTATTATTATTATATATTGACGTTGATATTAACATTGGAATATCGTCGATGTTAACTGTACTGTATACTGTAGATCCTCGGGGAATAGTTGAGGCCTGAAAATCGCCTAAACGGTGGCCTGAGCAACGATCTTGGATCTATCGGAGCGAATTGACTAATCTGAATCGAAGGCTTCGATGTCCATCGATGGCTGTGAACACAAGATGCAATATAAGGGAAAAGGGACACCGTGCTGGATCGCGATCCATCGATCCCGAGGAAGGTCAGGGTCTAGGGATCGCGAGAGAAATCCCGATCCATCAATTCCGCAGAAATCTCGATCCGTAGATCACGGGGAAAAGAATTGCGGTCCTTCGGTCGCGTGGAAAGTCATGATCTATCGATCTAGGTATAAGATCCTGATGCATGGATCGTGGAGGAAAATCCTGGTCCATCGATCACGGGAAAAATCGTCACGAAGGAATCCCGGGAGTAGTCCTGGTTTTTCCATGTTAATGAATATTCTTATTTCTTGATCTTTGTTCTATACCGTGATCCATGGATCCCGAGGAGAACCCCGAGCGATGGATCGCGATCCTGCCTACGCACTTAACGATTCGTCCGAATCACCTTTCTTGCCAGGTTAATCGTATTTCGTGAGCCAAATATTATTAACTTTGTATAAGGATGATGAGAGAGATTTCTTGTTTTTTTTTTCTTCTTTTTTTTTTCCCCTGTTTCCTGTTTCCTTAAGGCCTCTTAACGAGGCGGACGCGGAGCACGAGAGAAGCTCCTAAAAATGCGCTCTTCTCCCCGTTAAACGAAAAAGTTGCGCCAACGCTTTCCAATATTCTCAATGTTAATTATGCCTGCGAAAAAAAACAAAAAAAAGAAAATAAGGAAAATACCGTCAATCGAAACCGCGAAATTATACCAATTGACATCACGCTGCATTTAATTCCCCCCGAGGAACTGCTCCATTTGTTATTGACAATTAATAATTCCGTCCTACCCACAGGACTGGGAAAAAATCCATAACAATTATATCCGCGTGGACAAACTTGGATTTACGTGATGTCTGGATTTATCACTTTTTAAAATTGCTTGCCGTCATAATTAATTCCTCCTGTAATCGTTTTTATGTGTGTAGTTTTTTTTTATTTTTTTTTATTTGATTACTGTTCGAGCGCTTCTCAACTTTCTCGTTTAACGCCGCGGCCTTAATGTCTTAACTGCGCCTTGACAAGTCAAAAGAGTCATCCGCTTAGGAACGTAACAGTCGCGGAATCGGAAATTTCCGAAAAGGAAGGAAAGATATGAGCCGTGATATCCGCGCGAGCCTATCACTGATTTATGCGATCGTTACAATCGGCCGATCCTCGCCGACGTTCCTTTACACGTGCCTTAACGAATTCGAGCCTAATCGTTGTCGATTTTGGCTCGAGAAGCGACGATTCTTGTTTCTTTCGTCGGGACGTCGCTCCTGAATTTTTTTCCGTGGGAATGAACGGAGAGGGAAGAAGAAAAAGAAGGAAAAGAAAAGTATATTTGAATTCCGCGCCTTTTTTGCGCTCCATTCTACGCTCGCGTGGCTGCTGAATCGGCATAACAATCGATGTGTTGTATAATAAATGTTTGTTACGAATAAAGGGTGTTTTTTCGTAATTCTGCCGTGCTCTTTCTCTCTGTTTTTTCTTTTTGGATTTACGACAATTGCTAAATCATTGAGGGTAAAAAAAAAATTAGTCCACCAGTGACGTCGGGAAACGCGAATCGACGATTATGCCGTGCGAAATTCTGGTAATTAATTCCACGATGTCAAAAGAATTTTCCGGATTTTCGCTTAACTGGTTTCTTGGATGTTAAATGTTTATTTATTATATTCCTCGGTATGTCGCGGATTTTTTTTATCGGAGGTAGTTTCGTTATAAAAATAGCGCAATCGGACGTCATCGATGCCTTGAAGAGTCATTCAAGGCTGATTAGAGCAAATCACAGGTATCTTTCTATCTGAGGGTCGGGTTTTTTTTTTGCTTATCAATTCTAATAAGTAATTGATTATCGCTACGCATGTGAACCATCATAATTAGCTATTAGTGTGGTTATTAATAATGACTTCTCCGTACTTGATAGTAATAAGGGATATCCTATTTTGTTGGGGTTTTCAGCGAAAGCTGGAAATAGCAATTGCACGTTTCCGGCTTCTTGCCTCTTTATTGACTTCCTAGAATAATAAAGAACAGTAATTTCCGCCGGAACTAATTATAGGGTAATGTTATCGATGATCATTCGAGTTGTTGTCACTGTTATTAGGTACGACGGAACGGGAGGTCTGATTAATCCGCATTGAATATGCATTAAAGACCGGGTTTTTAACTTTGTACTCTTTGCAGATCACCTCCACATTCTGCTCCTCACGATTGCAAACAAAATGTAAATACACCACGTTATTTATAGTCATCGAGGAAGGAAAGTAAGGACATTCGTCCTCCAGCTCGAAATTAGAACGCGAGGTAACCGATATTAAAAATTTTTAGAAAAAATATATGACGAGTAGAAAAAAAAAAGAGAAAATTCCCTCGAAGAGATTAAGGTGTAAAATGTGGAAATTAACTTCTACTTTTGATAGGCCACGACGGAAATCTTTTCGAATCGTTTCCTTACGCTCATTCTTTCTGAAACGTCGTCAGGGGCGCATTGTACATGATAACGACTAATTTCAATCTTCAAAGAAACGGAATAAATAGACCTTTGCGCAACCTGCGACCCCGGGAGGAATAAGGATTGCACACTTAACATGTTTCAAATTACGAGCCGTAAGACGTGCCATTACGAGAGGCAATTAATATCGCGCAACTCCAAAGGAGCCGTGTGATATTGCTTTTTCATTTTCTTTTTCCTTCGGAAGCAAGGATCTTTTATTGATGCCAGAGATCGCGTTAGATTTGACGTTTGCGTTTTCGCTAATGCGTTATTAAATGTAAATCTTCCTCGAAGGTCACAGGGGCTTCTTGCAAAGTTTCGATTAAAAACGTGCCAGTAGATTAATTCAGTGGAAAATCCGTGCGTGTTGCCAGACGATGTATAGAGACTCTGATTACGAATGGAATGCAATTACTCATATTTCTGGAGTCGCGCAACTAAGTAGTTTTCTTCTTTTCTTTTTTTATCTATTGTATCAGTCCTACTTAATTCACTCGCGGAATCATTCCATTGTACAAGGACGAGTTTAAATAGCATGATGGATATTTTACATACGCCGGTGATTATGATAATGGCTCGGGTGATTTTCTTCACTTAACGAATCTTATTTCGCATTATTCGAATTTAAATTCATATAGCGCATTTGTGGGATGAATTTATGTTCCTTCGGATGTTTTCCATTTCGACCAGTTTTATCATCACAGGCGGAAATAAAACGTGTTGGATTTCATTCCAGTCCACCAGCTGACACCGAAATCTCATCTCGCGTGTCCTTATCAGCAGCGTGGATTTTTATCTCTACCGCGTCTCGTCGGGTCAATGCATCCCATGTTGTCGCGAGGGACGAATTATCTCATTTCCTCTCTCAATGTCCCCATTTTAAAGACACAACACCAATTTCAGGAGAATTTTTATGCTTCCAACCGTCTCACCGATAAGACGTTCCGACATATGGGCGAAATTCCTCACGACGTGCGGGCAATAGTAGACCAAATGTTAAACGGTCACTTTTCCACATTTACCAATCGCCCTGAAATCTACAAGACATTAAGCCACATTATGGTTTTTACAGAATATAGGTGTTAATGTCAACCCTTTGTGGTAGTATATTTATTTATTAAAGGATCGTTACTTCGATGAGATCGAGGATAGAGGTTACGTTTCAGATGAATTTTTTCACCCGCGCGCCTGTTGGGGCCTGGTTTGGATGTCGACCAATCAGCGCGCGAGGCTCAGCGGAACCGACCAATCAGCGTCGCGCTCGCCGTCGGGCGGACCAATCAGCGCGCGCCGGAGCTGCGCGCACAGGGTTGCGCGTCTCGTTACGTCACACGGGGGCTGCTCGAATTATCAGGGCTCCCCGTTCCGAGTGGCGGTCGCGGTCGCGCAGTACGTCTCGATCCTCCGCGCCGTGCGCACCGCTGCGGTTCCGTCGCGGCCGATCGATCATCACACGAGGTCGCGACACGTCGCCCGTAGATAAACATTCCACACCACGTTGCAATCGGCGTACATTGTAAAAAAATATCTGGTAATAGTTAAAACTATATACTAAGGGGTAGAGGTGTTTTAAAGATTAAAAATATACGGGACGATAGATGTCAACCGAGGGAAAGATTTCGAAAAACAGTGGATGCGTGGAATAAAGGGTAAGGACAAGTTAGGTTAGCTTCTGAATAGTTAAGGGTAGGTTAAGCTCGTCGACCTAAAAAATATTGGTGGAAAAACTAGGATGCGATAAATGTTAAGTGAAGGGAGAATTTTCGATATTAACGGGCACATGGAAGTGGAAAAATCCTATTAGGGTAGGTCGGGCATAGAATGTTGGGGTAGGTCGAGACGCGGAACCCCACCGATCCTGGTGTTCGTTTAAAAGATCCACTCTGATGTTACGAAAATTCTTCCCTGAATTTTAAATCCAGGTTCAGGTGGAAATAGTCCCCAGGTCTGACCAGGAGAGCGGCAATTCTACTTGCGGCCGTCCTTTCCACCTGAATTTGGAAATTACTCTGGAAATTCGGTTCTCCTTACTAATGCTTTTCGATGTTTCCTAGGGCTTCCGTTTCCCGAGATACTCCCCGGGGATGCGTTAAGAAAATAAAGAAAAAGAAAAATACATCCAGGCGGAATAGAAAGCATCGGAAACAAATAGAAGCTCTTCCCTCGAGTCGGCGTTTTTGCTGCTGGTCGAACCGAAGAGTTAAAATTTCTTCTCCGAAGCGACGTAAGGCTCAATTACGCGTTGCAGTCGCTCGTCGGGCTTGAATCTTTATTTAGAACAGCTGCAGAGAAGCCATGGTACATGCAAGACCGGAAACGGGGTGCAAGTGCAGCGAATGCGTAAACGTTTCATACTCCTTGACAAAGAGGCTCTTACTTTGGACATTTCTATTAATATTAAAGCTCCACTCCTTCGACCTCCTCGTCGACGTCTCGTATCGACTCGAAATTCAATTCGTAGGGAACTGAAATTAAAGTGTCGAAATCGACCAAGAAAATTCGCGGCCGGCTCGACTTGACAATGCATTGTCATTCTTGCACCGCGCACAAGTCACGGCCCTCGGTCGAGAGGAAAGGAGGAAAAACATTGGAAAAATTGGCATCGACGGTTATTTACTCGAGTGCAGTACGTGTAACTGTTTTGTCTCCGGCAGATGCGTCTCGACGATGCCCTCGTGACGAGAATAAAATGACTCCGCTGCACTTGCAGACTCCCTGTTAAAAGAAAGGACTTATTTACATACGGGGGAATTTATTTTAGAAACATCATTTACGAGGCTCAATTCCCTCTACGAAGCTTAATTTCCTGTCAAGGCTTAATTTATAGAGCTTAACACTCTCCATGAAATTAATTTATCGGGCTTAAATGTCTTTATGAGGCTTGATTTATAAAGCTTAATTTTCCTGACGGTCTCAATTTGTAGTCTAATTTTTTTTTACCAGTTTAAGTAACGAAGCTTAATTTTTGTTTTTCGTGATTCTTCATTGCACGTTTTTATTTCCATCGTGGAACTTCAAATACTCTCCATGAAATTAATTTATCACGCTTGAATGTCTTTATGAGGCTTGATTTATAAAGCTTAATTTTCCTGACGGTCTCAATTTGTAGTCTAATTTTTTTTACCAGTTTAAGTAACGAAGTTTAATTTTTTTTTTTTCGTGATTCTTCATCGCGCGATTTTATTTCCATTGTGGAACTTCAGTTTGTACCTTTTTTTAGGATCGATGATAGAGGGAGGAGAGGTCCACTGATAGCGGAGAGGATGTGAGAGATATTGGGCGGAAGCTTTTCGTCGAAGATGGACTCGAACGATGAATGGAATTCGGAAAACTCTGTCCGGAAGTGCTGCACAATTGTCAACGAGCCGACCGATGACTCCTCGTCACCCTTGACAAGCAGGGCGCCCATTGACATCGAATTCAATGACCTCACATATGCCGTGCCGACCGGCCGGAAAGGTGAGAAAGAAAATCCCCCTTAGAAAGGAAAACTTAAAAGCATGAAAAATCGAGCGTCATTCATTGGCAAAATTGCAGAGGTAAAGGGGCACCTAATGGTTACACATCAATACGGTCTCGTTTGTCTGAAATGATTCACGTCGGGTCAAAAGGTCGCGACAGAAGCGTGAAGATCTGCACAGAGAGGTCGCAAAAAAAAACCCTAATAGACTTGGCAATATGTGCATTGTTATCAATCGCATTAACAAGGCAATCCAGTCCAGACGGAACTTTGACACAGCCTAACAATTTATCGGCGAAGAAATTAATTGGGAAGTTGTTTTCAACAATTGCCGTCTCACTTCGCGTAATCGGGCCTCTCTCTTTTCGTTGATTTGTCGTTAACAAATAAATCAGAGGTGGGGATTCTTGGCTTGGCAAAGTCGGCGTTAAAACTGTTTTCACTTGTCAATTGTCGTATTCCCGGTAAAGTCGCAACCTTCACCTTTTTGCAGTAAGATCAACATTTATTCAACTCGTCTGCGTTGACTCGGCGTCGAGTTAACACTATCGGAAGCGTTTATCACTGCATGGCTTTGGAAATATTCCCTCCCTTTTTCTTTATTTTATTTTTATTTTTTTTTTTCATAAATAAAGTCCAACGATTTACTCGGACATTACACGTGTTAATGGACGGTACGCGATGTCTGGTATCGCACAGATTCTTTTTTCTTTTTCCCGTTTACGAAATTAATGGAAAAAAATGTGTTCTTGCGAGGAAACGAAGTCAGGAAAGTGGAGGTTTTACTATTTTGACAATGGGTTTAAATTGAAATTTCTCGGAGGAAATCAGTGGTCCCCTTGGAGACGCGATAACAATTGTGCCCATAACTATGAAAGTGGTCCAAGTCATATATTTTTTATTTCGAAGTTACATTGAATTAATTTAGTTTAAAATAATGTGGCGTGAAATAACTGTGATAAACTCATTTTTTTGTTAATTTTGACTTAGACCACTTTCATAATTATGGGCACAATTAAATGCGAAAATTATGAAAGTGGTCTGTCATATATTTTTTGTTTCGAAGTTACATTGAATTAATTTAGTTTAAAATAATGTGGCGTGAAATAACTGTGATAAACTCATTTTTTTGTTAATTTTGACTTAGACCACTTTCATAATTATGGGCACAATTAAATGCGAAAATTATGAAAGTGGTCTGTCATATATTTTTTGTTTCGAAGTTACATTGAATTAATTTAGTTTAAAATAATGTGGCGTGAAATAACTGTGATAAACTCATTTTTTTGTTAATTTTGACTTAGACCACTTTCATAATTATGGGCACAATTGTGACGCAGACGACCCTAGATGTCAACAGACCAAAAATTATGCCCAGGTCTAATTCAAAGTCCAAGCAGCTTCGCTTTTGGGCGTTTTCACTTATTCGGAACCTTTCTAATACGTGCGGGGAAATCGATAGCGCAACTTTCGGCATCACTTTAGTTACCTTCACTTCGCATCGTGTCAATTGTTAATCGAAGTTGAAAAACAATGCGTATGTACATACGATGGTTACATTAATCGACCCTCGCCGGAGTGAATATTATAATGCGAGTTCAAAGAATCACTGTTAGAAAAACTGCGAGGTGGAGATTGCGGGAAAAGGACAGTCGCGAGATTTTTCTTTGGCTCAAGGTGCGGCACTTTTTTTTCCTTTTTTTTTCCTTTTTTTCCTTAATAGCGTTTTCTAATTCGTCGGCGATTCCCGCGACCTCGCCCGTCTAGGTCGGATAACAAAGTGAACACATCAGCTGTTTTTTTCCGGGGCGGTCATAACGACTTGCTAATACTATTTTCTCTCTCTCCCTCCTTCGGTGACTTCTAATTCCGAAAACGATTAAATATCCCCCAACGCAAAATTTAACCGCATTCAAACTGGAACAATGAGTTAATACTGACGTCACGAGCTTCCTTGAGCTTGATCCTCTGTCACCTTTTTCTATTGTTAGGCACCTTTCGATGAGAACTGCGATTGGCGACGACTTTGAAATATGAATTCCATTATCGCATATCCACGATCGTGATAATCGTGATTATTAAGCAACGCTTCTTTACGATATTCCATTTACGTCTTTTTTTCCTTCCGTGACCCTCCTTAACTGTTTCGTGTTTATGCAACTCTTGATGATGCATCGTTTACCTCTTGCTTCCTTTCTTTCACTCTTGACGATTTTAATATCTGTGATTCTTTTTAATAACTCCGTCTTTTTCTTCTTCCTTTTTTTTTTCCTTGGTACTCCCTGTAATGAGTTTCATCCTCTGTTGGGCGGTCATTTAATATGTGCGTCATTGTGTATTTGTCGCGTTGTCGAGTGGCCTGCAAAAACCGGGAAAGCAGTGATTCATTTTCCCTGAAATGTCCGATTTGACGCTTTTCATATTTGTATCTGGTATTACGTTAATGAGGCCACCCACGTGTCTTATGACGCATTCTAATGGGAGGTGTACGCGTGATTCGAATCACTAATTCATGATTGAGCGGTCGGAAAACTTTCCTTCACCTCGACAACTCGATTGGCATTTCATGACAATGGTCGAGTGCAGAGTTCTAAGAGGAGGACATTTCAGATTGCGACGTCCTTCATTTTCTTTCTTTTTTCATCGTAGATATCGTGCGTCGTCCTTAACGAAGAAGCACGTGGTCGATCATTGTTGCAAATTCCTCCGAGAGATTTGTCATCGTATCTCAATTTTCCTTCATTTATCTAACGTGCGTTGACTTCGATGATTTGAAAATGAAATTAATATTGAGAATAATAAAAAGACCCTTTTTTTCAGGGTCAAAATTAATTCTGAGAGGTATAAGCGATAAATTTAAGAAAAGCGAGATTGATGATCTGAACATAGAATTAATATTATGGATATTAAGAAGAAATCTCTTTTTTTCAGGGTCAAAATTAATTCTGAGAGGCATAAGCGGTCAATTTAAGAAAAGCGACTTCGATGATCTGAACATAGAATTAATATTATGGATATAGGGTAAAAATTAATTCTGAGAGGCATAAGCGGTCAATTTAAGAAAAGCGAGATTGATGATCTGAACATAGAATTAATATTATGGATATTAAAAAGAAACCTCTTTTTTTAGGGTCAAAATTAATTCTGAGAGGCACAAGCGGTCAATTTAAGAAAAGCGAGTTTGATGATCTGAACATAAAATTAATATTATGGATATTAAAAAGAAACCTCTTTTTTTCAGGGTCAAAATTAATTCTGAGTGGCATAAGCGGCCAATTCAAGTCCGGAGAATTGACAGCCATATTGGGCCCATCTGGAGCTGGAAAGTCCACCTTGCTCAACGTTCTGGCTGGTTACAAGTAAGTCATTGCTCCTTACATCTTTTTATTCCCTCGCGCCAGGACAATCTAATTACTTAATTGTCTTCGATGGAGCGGTAGAAGTTTTTCTTTCCCCAACCTCGGCCGATTTTCCCTCTCCTCGGAGAAAGGGAGAGGGAACAAGAATTCCCTAATCTCGTTTGGGGCTTGAAAAAGGTCAAAATAAAAAGTGACCCCGTTAAAGTAATTTTCGCGGGATTAAGTCGCACAGAGTCGAGAAATGATGTGAGTGGCGAAAATTTAAGTACACCTCAAGGGTCACTTTTTCCATTTCTTTTATTTAAGCTCGGCCATTGTTTTGCCAGCTTTCACGCGCAACAATGGACACGCATTGGAGACAGCTGCCATTAAAAAGCGTATTTTGCGACTCCTTGCCGGACAAAGCCGGGGAAATCGTTGCCACGACAATTGGCACTGGTTGCTAAATACCGTCCTCATGACACGCGTCATAAAGAAAGACATTGCAAGAGGCAAAAGTCAGCTTCGAATAGCAGTTAAGCCGGAGGATCTAAAGGGTATCGGAAAAGAAAACAGAAATTTGCATGAAATTAGATGAAAGAGATAGACAGAAATGTCCAACGAGTAGAATGTTTCGGCATAGAATAGCAATAAATCGCGAGGATGCATGTAAAATATCTCCTTGAGGAGAATCCTTCGCTATCTGACATTCACCTTTGTTATTGAATATGAATGAGTATGAATGAAATTTGAATGCACATAGATATGACCCGAGTAATTAAATGCGACCTTTTGCTTAACTCAGTTTCCACGTGCCCGTCTAACATGTAATTTCCACGAGGAAAAGAAATCCTTATCATAAACTTAATTGGAAGTTCCCGGCAATTTATAAAATAGAGAAGTATAAAAAGGGTACGTCATGGACATTAATCCCGCAAAAAAAGAAAGGGAAGATAACGGTAATTAAACATGTACCCGTTTATCACGTTGAGTCGATCACGATTCAATTAAATTACAATATGTAAATGCAGGATATATTGTAACATTATGACTTTGAGGGCGGTTTTGCCGGGCAGAGGCAAAAAAAGTTTCTCGATAAACGCGGCGATCCCGAACGTATGATAACGTATGATAAATGTCACTGACGGCAAATAACATGGAATCAATGCCACGTAGATCGCGGTACCTTTTTTAACAGTCATCTAGACTCGTCTTAAGAATAGCGTAATAGAATAGCTGGCCGCCGAGTGCCACGTGCATGGAATTCTGAAGGAAATGCCTTGCACCGCAAAGTCGCTCTTATTTTAATAGGATTCCAGGATTCTCTAAAAATGGACGTTTCCTTTTCCAGGGTCAACGAAGCCGGAGGGCTGATCACCGTCAACGGGAAGCCGAGAAACCTTCGGGAGTTCCGACGATCGTCGTGCTACATTATGCAGGAGGACTTGACCCAACCGAGTCTGACTGTTCACGAGGCCATGACCTTCGCCACTGATCTAAAATTGGGTCCGAAGTTTTCAAAGGCCTCGAAGCTCGCCACGGTAGTACACTTTGTCTAATACACCCCGCACAGCAATTATAAAATGTATCCAAGCCACTCTGCCAGGTGAAGACGTCGAAAAGTAGCGTCTTCAAGATGAGGTTGAACTGCTTCGTACCTGAAAATATCGAAAGCACAATTACGCCGAGGAATTATTCAGCCATTGTTAGGAAGAAATCCCACGAGAAACTCGTGAGCGGAACGCGCATCCCACGAACGGAGTGGGATACCTTCGTGGAACATAAACCGCACTTGATTTGCACATTAACAGTAACTACCACCCGGGGCGAGTGCGTACAACCTCATGGGGAATGCACTTCAGCGTAGACAATGGGCTCCAGAACTGCAGATCTTGGACGCAGCCTCCGTGGAGAATCGCAGATTTTTCACAGTCTGCCATTTCTTTGTAGAGCCAGGGTCGATTTATTAGACACTCCGACAGGTGTAGGAAATTATGCGTAGATTCCTTGGCGAAGTCATCATCGGTGGTTAAATCATACAAGGACTTCGATGCTGCAACCGACAAGTTTATTAAATTGAATAATAAATGCATTTACGGTTTCTTTTTCAGATAGAGGAGATCTTGAATACCTTAAGACTGAGTCGAGTGAGGGATACCATTACGGAGAGGCTATCGGGTGGGGAACGAAAGAGGCTTTCGATAGCCCTCGAACTGGTGAATAACCCTCCGGTGATATTTCTGGATGAACCCACTACGTAAGGAAGTTCCTCTTGATGTGGCTGTGTAGAAAGTCAGTGGTAAGGAATAAGAAAGGAGAATTAGTAAAATTAATTACACTTTCAGGGGCCTGGATGAACTGTCCTCGGTGCAATGCGTGGATCTGCTTCGAAGAGTGGCCAGAGGAGGCAGAACGGTGGTTTGCTCGATTCACACACCTAGTGCGAAGATTTTCAGCAAATTTCAGCACGTATTTGTCGTGGCTGCCGGCCAGTGTGTCTATAGAGGCCCCGTTGACAATGTCGTGCCATTCTTACAGCACATTGGCATCGATTGTCCGACTCATTACAATCCCGCTGATTTCAGTGAGTTCACAGAATGAGAGTACGCATGCCCGTAATTATTAAAGTAATGTAATTTCTCTTTTAAATTCTGAATTATTACGAGCAGATATATAAAACTTATAGGTATATATATTTTAAATATTTTTTATTCCCTCAGTCATCGAAGTGTCTTCCGGTGAATACGGCGTGGAGCTGGTGGACAGAATGGTCAGCTATGTTGATACCAGATTGTCAATAGTGCCAATCGAGAAATCGAAGTATCAAGAGATCGAACCCGAGCAGATTTCTGAGGTCCCATGGTGCACGCAGTTCCAAACCTTGCTTCGGAGGATGATGTTGCAATTATACAGAAATAGGGTAATCCTTGTTAATACTTGAAGACTACGTTACTTCAGGAAACTGTTATCGATGTACACTGCATAGGGTGCCCATGGCATAAGACTCGTTAATTATTGTATTATTTCTGAATTCTTGCAGAACTACATGTACTTGAAAATGTCCTTACATGTATTCCTGGGATTCATAATCGGAGGACTGTTCCTCAACATCGGTAATGATGGCTCGAAGACGCTCTTCAACTTCGGCTTCTGCTTCACGTGTCTGATAATCTTCCTCTACGTGCCAATGTTGCCTGTCTTATTACATTGTAAGATCACGGTCGCTTGTTTTGACTTATTCTGACATTTTTTCCATTTATTCTTCTTGTTGCAGTTCCTTCTGAGGTCCAACATGTGAAGAGGGAGCACTTTAACAGGTGGTACGACTTGAGTCCATACTTTTGTGCCATGACCTTATCCAATATTCCCGGCCAGGTTGGTCTCGTGTGTTCATCTAAGATTTTCTTAACAAAACTCGTTAAGTTTAATATTCTTTTCACAGGTAATTCTGGCGACAATCTACTTAACGATGGTTTACGTGATAACTGGCCAGCCAATGGAACTCTTTAGATTCTCCATGTTCTTTAGCACATGTATCATCTGTGCCTTGATTGCGGAAAGCATGGGGTCGGCCATCGCTAGTACCTTAAACATTGTGGTGCGTTATTTTTAGTTGCCGACATAGCAAATTGTTAGAAGAAAATTTGACATAATCATACACCATTTTAGAACGGGATATTTGTGGGACCAGCTTTCTCGGTACCACTAATGCTGTTTGCAATTCAGGGGATGGGCAATCCGGAACCTTTGCCAATGTATAGAATCCTGATCATGTACATAAGTTACATTCGGTACGGCTTGGAAGGTCTTATTGGAGCCACTTATGGCTACAATCGAGAGAAACTGCCGTGCCCACCTACCGAGATATATTGTCAATATCGAGTGCCACGAGAACTGTTACGAGTTATGGGTAAGTCCCCTTTACTTGATAAAATCTATTAAGGTGCTACTTATTATTATTAGTAATTAAATTAAGTCAGAAAATCTCGTTGACTTTCAGGAATGGAGAACATCGTCTTCTGGATAGACTTCAGTGCTCTCCTGGTCATCTTAATTCTGTTCAAGGCCTTGACTTATTACTTGCTGAGACAACGATTACAGCCCAACAAGACCTTCCAAGCTCTGCATCTCATTGGACGACTCGTAAAAAGTCACTTTAGCATCCAATGACAGTTGCGCCTATGACCAATTATTAAATAGACAAACTGCCACCTTGCGTAGGGTAATCTTTTTAAGTGTATATATACATATAGGACATTATACAATATTTTTGTAAAATATGAATGGTCTAAAGTTTTAAGAAAGCGTTACGTCAAGATCTATACGGATGTACACTAAATAATGTCGAACGTGAATTAATAATCGTCGAATAACGATTCACAGACATTGAGATCTGAAAACACTCAAAAGGGGAATATGTACTTTATTTTGAGAATATCTTTTAAGAAAGACCACAATACTCCGTCCAGAGATGTACAATCGCAGGAAAAATAGAAAAGCTTATAAGGTTTAACGAAACAGTGGCTGGAGGATGTTATTCCAATTTGAAGAGAAAATTCTCTTTGTTATAATCAATGATAAGGGTATATGTATGTATAACCTATTAAAGAATCTCGTGACACATCACGTGGACCACCCAGAATATTTTAACTGAGCAAAAAAATAAATTTTAATTATTTTAATCGCGTCCTTCATTCTCATTGTTTAAGGGGTTACACACCAGAGATCATCTCTGATATTATCAGAAATGAACCGCTGTTGAGGGTAAGTGCGTTAGCTGACTGCATTCTCCACCGAGGGCAGCACAAGAGGGTTTCGCCATCTCTCGGAGCGCCTCGTGAACTAGTCGCCAACTGGAACGCCCCACGTGACCAAGCCTCTCCATTTAAAGGAATCGCCAAATTTAAATGCACAGTCCAACAAAACAAACCGTAGAACCCGTGAAACCTATCGAGCCAAATAAAATAACGTCATTATCAAGACCTCTCGTAATTTCCTGGTCCTATCTAATCGCACTTCATTATTTCCTCGCCGGCTCAGGTTTCTTGCCCGCACTGTTCCGTTGCATAACCTCGTGAAATAATAAAACCGATTACCTTATCGTGACTTCGTCACGTGTAGCTCACATACCTTGGACTTTCCCTGTTTTATTGGACAAAGAACAACGCTCGATACATACGATGCCGATCTACTTTTTACTATTTTTGTTATTTTACTATTTCAGTATTATTTATTTTTAACGCAAGTGATCGACGCGTCACGAACTGGTCGCGGAATGAAGTAGTGCCGTAAGGTCGACATTCGCCGGGCTGGGCATGGGAAAGTGGTCCATATCGCATCGTCACCAGATGAGACGCGTTCTCGAGAATGGACGAATGGTTGACAAATCCCCCGTTACTCTTGGCACCTCGGCAAGTATTGAGGCGATCATTGACACGTAGAGCTGTTAAAGTCTCACAATGTCGACAGGACTAGGAGTGGGGATAACCGATAATATACGCAGTTACCAGGGTGATGGAAAGTAGAGATTCAGCGTTGCTGCATGCTGCTGCACTATAGCAGCTGCTACCTGCGATGAGTCGTCCCGAGTTCAACGCTGTTATCATCTTCCTCGGTTTTGCACTTATCGGAGCAACGTACGAGTGAGTGGCTAATATCTCTTTTTTTTCTGGTACTATACAAGTAGTTCAGAATTTTGTAAACGTGAATTTTCGTACTTTCACACGTGAACGGGGAACAATGGAGTGAACCAAGGATATTAAAATGGCCTGTTGGCGTTCACAATGAATCTGGATTATACTGGTGGACTCGACCTTTAAAGTATAAAGCCTATTTTTGAAAATTACCTTCTCTTTCTTTTATCTGAATTCCTCCTTCAAAACGGTTATTTTCAATTTTCCTCGAGTACTTCGAATAATTTTAACGTGTACTTTCTGAAATTAGGATGAAATCATTTTTGAATTTATTAGAGGAGAAAAATATTTCGGGGGACCCAAGAAATATTCTAACGCTACGTAATCCCATTAAGTTGAATGGTAAGTAAATTCTCAGGTGTTCGATACCCACGTACTCGCTTAATTAAAATTTTGGATTAATATGGAATAGTGAAAGTGATAAATACTAGACTGTATTTAAATGCACTTTGAATTTTCACAGGCTCCCCACGTCGGACACGGATCTCCTTGAGTCAGGGTCCACGGACTTTGACATATTAATCTTCACCCAACACTGGCCGCAGACCGTGTGCTTCCAATGGAAGGAAGGAGACGCGAACCACAGCTGTTCCTTACCACAGGGCGAGGAATGGTCGATTCATGGTATTTGGCCGACCCAACTGCACAAGCTCGGGCCCCAATTTTGCAACAAATCCTTGCACTTCAATGCATCTGCGCTACTCTCTATAGAGAGTGAACTCAACAAGAAATGGCTGGATGTTGAAATAGGCACGAAACCTCACTCGTTTTGGAAACACGAATGGGACAAACATGGGACCTGTGCGGCGGTCTTGGAATCTCTCAACACGGAGCTCAAATATTTCCAGAAAGGTCTAGACTTTCTCGACCTGTACGACATGAAGAATACTCTGGCTAAAGCGAGCATTATGCCTGGAATGGTACACTCGGTCCAAGATATCCTTGACGGGGTGAAGAGAATTCTGGGAAAGAATAGCCAGGTCGAGTGCATTAAAAACCCGGTGGGTAAATTTCAACCGAATAATGAGACTAAGTACCTTAAAACGTTCCTTGACAAGTGATCCATAAATTCTAATTTTTTGATAATTGTACCTATAATCATGAAAGTACGACATAAAACGTGGGATATGTTAATTTCCTTTTATACATTTTTTCATAGTTACGGGTACGATTAATGATGAGAAGTGCTCTGAAAATTAAAACACACTCGCGACAATGTATCAAGCAGACAAGGAAGTCAATGGCATTGTTTGAACGAGGTGGATCTTAATTACTCGGTTGCTGATTTCGAGACTCTCGAGTAGCTGTAATTTGAGTTTGTTTATAGAGGATGTTTTTTAAACTCTCCAGTTAAAGCCCACTTACGTGACCGATTGTGTACATCCGACACGCGCCACTGAAATGTTTCTTAACTTGTGATTTACCTTTGACGTCCTTACTGCACTTCTGGACATTTTATTCATTTTTAAATTTCTGCAAGCATTTTCCAGTTTAAAATAATCAAATGGGAAATTTTTTTTTCATCAATTCAGACCGATCGTTTTATGTAATATATTTTTTAATTTCTGCAACGTTCCTTCTGTTTGCAGAAAACATTGGAGTCGTATCTCTTTGAGATCAGGATATGCTTCAATAAGTCATTGGAACTGATCGACTGCGATGGGATTCATGGATACCCAAGCAACTGCGATCAGAATGAGCAAGTTAATTACCCAGGGAGTGTACCGGAGGCATATCACGTTATACAATTATAATCACTACTCTAAGGAGTAGTTTAGACTTTTCACCGCCACTAAACAAAATTGAAAAGTAAATCATAGCAAATTAATATACAGTGTACATATAATATTGAGATACGCAATCAACAGAGAACAAAGACAATATGCCTAGGAGAAACATAAATCTGCGGAAATCAGAGTAACAATAGTCGGGCATACATTGTCGGGCGATCATTTGGCCCATCTTTGAGTTTTATATTTATTTTCAACGTAAAAATCTTATCAAACATTCATGCGATGCGCGCCTTTCAGCGACGCGGTTCCAGAAATGGGCTGCAGCGATACATTTCTATATGCGTAATTAGCTACGAATTCTCAAAGACTTTTTATATTCGTGTTATTCGAACCAATAGAATAAATTTAAAAAATAAACTGTGACAAATATATTTTGGAAACGCACGACGAAATACTGTCCTTCTTTCCGAATTCTCGCAATCGCCGACACCGATACGGAATCTCGACTTTTGCTACTAAATACCTCGAAGTTCTTATCATAAAGTAATCTGTCGAAGCCCTTTCGCTACAAATGGACTCCGAGTCACAGTCAAGCGAATGACAGTATGGTAGGAGAAAAAAAAAAGGGAATTGTTTTAATTTAAACTATTATATAATAGCCGCAAGATCGTTCATAATAATGCGAGACTGAGAACTGTAGGTTCGATCAGGAAAGGGCTGGAGATACGATGACGTCGATATGTTACCATCGGTCCAACTTTTTCTGCACAATCACAACTGCCGATGGCACAAGGCCTGAAACCACATGATCTCTTCAATGAACTTTGAACCCATTGTCATTCCTTAATGACTTACTGAGATAATTCAATCGTATTACTACACAGATTTAAAAATCCATACATATGAGTGTACACTTAGACTGCATGATCAACTCACGATGTGTAGATGTGCGTCATTGTCACGTTTAGCACACGTTTCAAAGTATGATAATTTGTGATTCGGTGTGATTGTGCCATGCCATGCGGAATGCATGTTGTTGGACGTGATAAAAGCAATAAATTCCGCACTCACCCAATACGTCGAGGGGTGTATCGTAGTCCTCTTCCGTAAACACTTTCTTTGGGAAGCACGTCATGAGGTTGAAAGGCTGCGCATCGTCTTTCCTATTTATTTCAATGAACAATCGAACGGCTGAAAGCTGCTCCTTGCTTCCAAAGGTTTGGGTGAGTGTCTGACCGTTAGTAAGTCTGATCTAAGAGATGAAATTTATTTAACGTGCGGTTTCTCATACCAGCTGACATGTACCGCTGACTGTAGTTGATAAACTGTAAACGTACTTGAATCTTAGTCTCACTGTAGTCTTTTGTCGAGGGAGTGGCCGATGGTGTGGACGACACAGGAGATGTTGCAGGCTCAGGGGTTTGGTTAGCGCTTCCATTCCCAGCCTTGGCTCGTCTGGCAGCTTTGTCTGCTTCAATTTGTGCCTTGACTCTTTGTCGAGCCATCCGCTCCTCCTCCTTCTCTCTTTTCCTCTGCTCTAGTAACTTCTTCATTTCTAACTCTTCAAGCCTGAGAAGAGGACATTTTCGGATATCGAAAATCTGTTAATCAAGGAAAAATGTGAAAGCGTTTTACTTTTTCCTCGCTTCAGTCATTTCCTTTCCAGAGCGTATCCTATTGCGCTCCTTTTCAAACGTCTCCCTTTTCTCCTGTTCCTCCCGTTCCTTTCGTTTTTGCCGCAGTTTCTCCTCGAGCAGCTTCAACTGTTGCCTCTTCTCTTCCTCCGTAAGCTGCTTCTTCTCCTCTGTGCTTTCCGAAAAACTGTCATGCCCAGATTTTGTTGCATGGAACTCTACCTCGAGGTTGGTCTTAAATAGTTTCCCGCACCTATTCGTACAGAAGCAAAAACAGACCAGGACTCAGAATTCAGGAATTAAATACTTTAGTCCTAATGTAATTACATTATACCGTAAACCATTTACTTACAAATTACACTTCAGACTTTTCGCACCCTCGGTTGTGGAAACTTGGTTACTAGCACTTGGAGCACCGTCTTCTTCAGACGCTTCGCTGACTTCGTTCCCTGTATTGTTGACTTCCTTTACTGAATTCTCTACCATCGGGGGCTCGGGTTCGGTTTCATCCGAATGAGCCAGTAGCCTAAAAATATAAAGATTGTTATCTAAAATATTGTACATATTCTCTACTACTTTTTGAAAACAAATATTTAACAAATACCATTCCATCGCCGGCTCCACGCCCTTATTCCCCGTAATCTGTAAGGCCTTCTCCCTAAACCAAAACATGTCTCAGATTTGTAGGTTAAGAATGCGGCAACCGCAATTAATAACGAACTTACGCCTTCAACATGGTAAAGCCCATGTCCACGAGTATGGCTATGTCCGCCGAAGACATTTTTCCCAGTCCAATGGTTTAATCTGCTCGTAAGGCAGTGGGAATTATCACAAACTCCTGCAATCGTCTCGCCCAAAACTCGAACGTCATGTGAACATTAACGTTATATCGGTGATACCCCCAAGCAGCACACATACCTTGTTAGCTTGTTCCGTGACATTAGCGGCGTAGCGGTCGGGGGGGGGAGGGGGCGATAAGAGACCGCATACGGTCCCTTCATTGGCGCTCTTTGTCACACCCTTTAGTCAGCCGCGTTAAAATGAGACAACCTGGTCTCCCGATGAGAAGGGTGGGAGAGCCACAGTAGATCACGAACTAAAATTTTACCTTTAATTTTCAGTATATACACCATTGCACTCCCTCTATTTTGAAGACGACGATTAGGATGATTATCGGAGTTCGATAGAGTCGCATGTCGGGGAAAACGTAGCAAACAATTGAGAGGATTAAATAAAGTCAAAAAAATGGGCTTATTCGACCGACTTGCTAATCTTTTAGGGCTGAAAAAAAAGGAAGTAAACGTATTAGTAGTGGGCCTTAATAACAGCGGTAAGTCGACCGTAATAAATCATTTCAAACGCGAGGAAGATCGCTCCATAGACATAGTGCCCACAGTCGGCTTTAATGTCGAGAAATTCGCATGTAAGTTCTGAGTAAACATCGCTTCTGTTGAAAACGCGATTTGGGAATTGCACCGACATTGCACCCACGCCTTCTTCAGCACCAGTCGTCACCGTGGCTCACCACTTGTCAAGATATTATTTACTCGTCTCTAGGAATAGATACATTGTACGTTATAATTTGAAAGCTTATCGATTATTGTAAACTTCTTTATATTTATGAATTGTAAAATACTTTTTGTTACGTCACGCTTTGTAGATTCTGTATCATCCACTTGGTCAGGTTATTATTATGACGTGTTTAAATTAATTACGTTTGTACTACACTGTTATTGCATCCACGTTTCAATGCTTACCGTCGATGAATGATGTAACGTATATCACAAAAATTTGGTATAATACAAACTCTAATATATTATCATGGACTTACAACCTAATATACAATTCACATGTATTCTAAATCAAGTACCATAATTTAGTGGTAAATTTCTATGAATTTAAAAAATATTTAATAAGTATGTAGAAAATGTATCATTCATTGTGGTTATAACCCACTTTTTTTTTTTCTGTTAAAGTGTCAAGCAATATCAATAAACATTTAGTCATTAAATGTATTTCACTTTAACAATGAATTCTTCCAATTCTTCCATTCGTTCGAAACACTTGCTTTGTTTGAACAATACTTCACGTAGACTGTATGTCACTGATGGTTAAATCATCGACTTTTGTAGGAGAGTCAATCACTTTCTTCGAAGACCCATGTAAAGGTGTACTGGTTGTAATCAAATTGCTAGTGTTTTTCTCTCCCACATTCTCTTTTTTCTTAAAATACTTTTTTATCAATGGTATATCTTTTGTAAAATCATACTTTATACCTTGGAGAGACTTAAATGGAAGAGTAGTTTGCTTCAACTTAGGTTCAGTCGATTTTGGAATTACTGTTTCTTCTTGGATGAAACTTTTACTCGATCGTGGCCCGGGTCGAGACGTCAATGAAGTATTTTTTCCTTTTGCATTCGGTGCAGAAATGACAATCGGTTTTGTTGTTGACTTCTCATTTTTGGTAGCATACCATGGAGCTTGTTCGTTTCCTTGATCTTTTTCTTCCGAAGGTAATATCTGTACCGAGACGTCTTCTCCATTGGATTCTTCTAGTAAAATCGCTTGCGAATCATTTCTTCCTTGATTCTCATCTTCACAAAGACCGTTTTTCAAAGAATTATCTTCTTCAGAATCTTTGGATATTATTCGCTTAAATTTATGTTTTACAGAACTGTTTGTTTCTTTATGACGAGCCGGTATGGGTGCATCCTTTTTAAATTCTTCAGAGTCATCGGAAGAAATTCTTATTTCCTTAATCTTTTTTACACCTCTCGTCTCTCTAAGACTACGTTTCCGTAAATCTTGTTCGGATTCTTCTGATAAAGGTCGTTTAGATCTTCTCTGCTTCTGAATCTTCTCTTTTCTATAGGATCTATGTTTGAGCAAATTCTCTTCAGCTCGTTTTAATTCTTCTATCTTCTCCCATTCTAATATTTTAGACGATCTAACACTTTGTCCCTGTTTCCATTTCTTCATTAGATCCTGCTTCCTTTTTTTTTTCTCTGCAGTTTGCTTCCGTACCAGAACAGCTTCTTTTAATATCGACTCACTTTCTGAGCTGCTGCTGATCTAGAATAAAAAGGATAATGAACTACTATTGTAACAGTTGTCATATGACCATACACCAAATCTATGACCTACATTTATTTCCATTGGACTTTCAACAGTTTCCTTTGTCCATACAAAAGATGCAGTTGTTCCATCGGTAAACTTTTCGAATGCAGATTGTAAATTCATATATTTAAAATATTTTATAAGAAGCATGAGTTCGTTCTTCTCTTTTGGGGTAAACTTCTTCTTTCCGATGGGATCTACATGAACTTTCTCGGGTCTAGCTTCAGCGAGATCATAACACAAGTATATTTCAATATTCAAGAATGTATTCGTTTCTAGTCTATGAAATCCAAACAGCTGTATATTGATATGACTGTATCCAAAACTTGAATCCACTGTGCAATTATTCGTGCCGTTGAGATACCTCTGGAATTATATTAATATTATTACATGCATATATCAAGTATATCCTTGGTATTCGATTTGCTGGCATACAGCCCACCTTCAATTCAAAATATTGTTCCATCCTGCTAGTGTAGCAATTGATATAATGTTTGCAATTTCTAAGGAATAACGTCACTTGTGACAGGACATTAATTGGGGTTTCTTCAAGAATGCGATCCATGTCAATGGGCATAGGTAATGCCCATTTGCCTAACGTCCCTACACCATCCTTATTAAAAAATTGGATGGTATAAACCTCAACGTTCCGGGTCTCACACACAGAAAAAAATTTGAACACAAACTCTTCCTTGGTAAACTTAACACATTGCATCCCAGCAAATTTATACAAGTCGTTCTGTAGCTCGATCTCAACATTTGGAATAGTCTGAATCGCCTTTCTGGAAGTGCTGATCGACTCTGACAATCTCTTGACATTTTTTATATTTCCAAACTTGGTGATGTTCAAATTCAATTCGATTTGAAAGATCAGAGCTTTCAGCTCTGCTATTTGCTTCTGCAGTCTGTCTTTCTTCTCCTTGAGATCTGAAAATATACATGCAAGTTAAAAGAAGCATCTTATGATTTGCCATCGATATCATACAAAAAAAACCAAATCCGATAAGAAATAGTTGACGTTCTTTCGTGAATACGATGAAAAATAAAGAATCTGCAGAAAATTGACAAGTCAAGAAAAAGGCGCTCAATTAGGTTATGTCGAGAGAACAATTATCGACAACTTGCCTATATTTGAAGTATCTTGAGATTGGTCCGTCATGGCGTCCTTTTGTGCCATAATTTCTGTCATATTGCGTTCTTTAATTCATTTACGAGTTTAATCTGTCGCTTTCGATCCTCTCGCGCTTCGAATCTTAAACTGAAATCACATCTACGCACATTTTATGCGCATTAGGACGCCATGACAGTTTTGAAGCCGCCATATTGTTGTCTCGGTCGATAAATTATCAATAAAACAGAAATACGAATAGAGAAGGGTCCGTATTTCGTACCGATATGTTTGTTACTAATTAAAAAGGCCTCTCAGAACGTTAAAATATAACCTTTTCTATTTCAGACAAGAATCTTAATTTTACTGCGTTCGATATGTCCGGCCACGACAGGTATCGCTCCTTATGGGAGCATTATTACAAGGATTGTCACGGGATAATTTTTTTAATCGATAGCAGCGACAAGCTTCGCCTGGTTGTCGTTAAGGAAGAGCTGAACATGCTTCTTCAGCATCCTGACATTGCTAGTACGAAAAATCATTCCTAACAATTTTATGTCAATCTCAATTTTAACACCCCCTTATCGAACCTTTCCAGGTCGGAAGATCCCGATTTTATTCCTGGCGAATAAAATGGACTTGCTGGATTCTTTGACTTCGGTCAAACTTGTGGCTGGATTAGGGCTGGAAAGGATTCAAAATAAACCCTGGCATATAAGAGCAACGAATGCGATTACAGGGGAAGGATTGCAACCGGCGATTGAGTGGCTCACGGACCAGATTCGCGACATATACGTCACGAAAAGATAACAATTATCCTGAGAGATATTTAAAAAATACTCCACGTATCTCTTATTAATTATTAAGACACAACGAACTCTAATTGTATGTCTGTACTTATTTATTCACGTATATTATGAATGCTTCCATGCTACTGCGTGTGTAATGCGACCTTGTAATGGGTTTTTTGTAATGTTGCAAAATAAATATCAACTAGGGGAGTAGACATTGAATTTTAATTTCTTGTCATTTTTAATTTCTCTCCTGTAAGGAAAATGGACGTTGAGTGGGGCGCCATCTTGCGTAGGAAGAGGGAAGTGCTGCCATCTTATGGATGAAGAGGAAGTGCCGTTATTGCGTCACTGTTAGAGGACAAAAAATATCTCTACGTCGCGTCATAATATCGCGATCCACGGTCCTTCGCTATCGACCTGTCACGTAGTAAGTGGTCGCGGTCAATTGGGTTGGCGGTTCATTGATAAGAAGAGAACTTGTAACTCGGTCTCGAGCATGAAAGAGGCGTACGCGTACGTCATATATACTTTATCAACTGTGATTTTGGTCAACACCGTACAATGTTACCTCATCGAGAAGTATTCTTTATTCATGCCGAATGTGACCCCGAACGTGGTACGTGTAATTTATTCCCACGCTTTCATCATTTTCTTGCGCATCTTGAACATATGGAACCACTTCGACCTTTAATTTCTGTTCCCTCGATTTAAAATGCTCTTTCGCGATAATCAGCTTTGACGTAACTTAGCCGACGTGAAAAAGAATTGAAAAATGCGGACTTTTAACATTGTTAACGATACTTTGATTATTTTCGGTTAGTTTATAATTGGTTATTCCTTCAGCCGGAGTTGTACCTTTGTACTCCGATCAAGATCGACTCTTCCAAGGAATATTATATCGTGGGTTTCGAGCCAAATGCTACGATGTCCACTGCACATCACATGATTCTTTATGGTTGTACTAAGCCTGGGACCTCGAGAGAGGTGTGGAACTGCGGAGAAATGGCACGGAGCAAGCATAGCTTTGGAGAGACTGCGAGTCCATGTGCGGAAGGATCGGAGGTAATTTAGTATGCTTTTGTGTTACTAATTTTGGGCAAATTTTGGATCGGAGGATCAAGAACGAGCCATGAGTTTCGAGAAAGGTATTTGTAGTGGTGTACGTAACCTTATTGCATTCCTTTTCCTCGCAGATTCTGTATGCTTGGGCAAGGGATGCCCCGAGGCTGAATCTTCCGGATGGCGTAGGTTTCAAAGTCGGTGGCAAATCTCAGATTAAGTACTTGGTGCTGCAAGTTCACTATGCGCACATAGAACGCTTTAAAGATGGGAGTACCGATGATTCCGGGGTATTTCTGCATTACACGACGCATCCTCTTAGCAAATTAGCTGGAGTGCTCCTGCTCGGCACGTCAGGTCTTATTCCACCGCATCAAGTCGAGTATATGGAGTCCGCCTGCATGATGAAAGAGAACAAAACTATTTATCCATTCGCGTACAGAGTTCACACTCACTCGTTGGGGAAAATAGTGTCTGGGTATATAATTAAACCTGGCAATCAATGGATCGAACTTGGAAAAAGGGATCCTCTGGAACCACAGATGTTTTACCCAGTGCATAATAAGGTTGCGGGCAAAATGGGCGATATATTTGCAGCACGGTGCACCATGGAAAGCAACCGTCCGACCATGACCTATGTGGGAGCTACGAATCAAGATGAAATGTGCAACTTTTATCTTTTATACTATGTCGACCACGAAGAGCCATTGGAAATGAAGTACTGTTTTACCAGAGGTCCTCCATCGTATTACTGGACCGACGCAGGTCTCTTTAATATTCCTGACAGGGAAGCCTCTACTTTATAATACGTACCATCCATGTTCAGAGAATCTTTCAACAATTAATTTTGTTTAGATTGTTTAACAGAAACGAAATGACGTATGATTAGATTACAGCTCGAAGTGGCATATAGCAGATTCACACAAAAAAAAATTAGTCTGTGATGGATATCGAGGCGATTTAATGAAAGTGAGAAAAGCTATTATAACTCGGAGGGAACATTTTACTGAATCTGGAAAAGTATATTACGGATTATTGTATTTTTCCTCTATACTCTTCCTTGTTCATTGCTTTGAAAAATTCTTTATTATCGGAGAAAGGATATATATCACTTTTGGGATTTTACAGCCCAGAACTTGTTCCGATCTCTTAATAACAGACTTGGGGATCTGATGTCAAAGCTTTTCCAAATCTCTAAGAGCTTCTTCCTAATTTCTAAAAGAGATGTTCCTTGAAATCGAGCTGTACCTTGTATCTGACTATTTTAACGTGAGGTCATTGTCGAGATTTCTTAGAGTGCTTTAGTGAGAAAACGATTAAGTTATTGCTGTTTTATATTTAGCTTCCCTTGGATACTATTTACAATTTTAGTCGTCGTGTCGAAAGTTTGCAAAGTCGGTCCCCTTTTATTTCCCTTAGCTAATGTACTTACCCCCATTCTTTGCGACTCTTTGAACACGATGAAAGTGACACGGAATGAAGTATTATTAAAAAGAAGTAGTACCTATAGAAACTCGACCAAGCTGAGAAATGCGAGAACCAAATCGCGTACTAATGACATGGTGTTTAGCTTAAGATAATGCGATAGTATTGCTTTACCGATTATTAACTAAATTTAATATAACTTAAGGGTGAAAAAAAAAAATCAATTTTCCCACATATGAATTTTTATCGTCAATACACATGTGTATATTTTTTTTAATTAGCGTAACTTTTGCAAGTTTGCAAGTGCTTCAGAGATTAAAATTATTCGGTGCATTAATTATTAATTATGGAGAAGTGGAATATTTAATGAGAGTCGGTGAAGCAATCCTTTCGCAGGACCTTTATGCCCACCGCAACCTATTCTACGTAAGGACTAATTTAAGTTACAGGGTACTTAGTTAATTGTGATTTTTCTAGTGCAATATTTCGCCCAGCCGCGTGATACGTACTTAGCATCGTTAACAGTACAACATTATTTATAATACCTTACGAGATAATTTAACGAGGACACGTACCGGTGCACCGAGCCTAAATCAACGATTCTCCCGATAATTTTATTTCACTCCGTCGACGATCAAGTGACCTGCATTTTGTACACTAATTACCTCAGGACTTTTAGTGATACCGACCATATTCATTCCAGTAGTTTTAATGATTCCAGTAACTTTAAGTCGAGCGATTATCTCTGAGCGTAGATTCTTCGACGGTTCCTAATTAATGTGTTTAAATTAATCATACCGTAAAACTTACCGACTCGATAAGTTTTTTTTTTTCACCTGTGAGCGGAACTCGATTAATCTCCGATTAACGTTCACCCGACAATTTTGGAATTACTCAGTATATAAAAATGTTTCGATATACACACGTTTTTAATATTGGCATGAAAATAGTTTTACGAAATGCAAGAGACTTTGATTGTAAAAAATGGATTAATTGTAGAGAAAGAAAAAAAAATGGAGTTTTTTCTCATCTCTCTATAAGGTACCGTTAATTATGCGTATTATATAATATATATATATATAACAAGTTCTGTTTGTGCGTCTCGAGAATTTATATACATATATATGTATACAGAAAGATACATGTTTTAATCCGGTGCTGTCGATATCTTGTAAATGTGCGTTCCTATCGTGACAATTCGCGTCGTTGAAGCAGATAAAAGAGATATATACATGTAACGACATACGATTACGTAAATTAATCGAATCGTCCAATTCCCAAGTGAACCAATCCGCTCTGGGAGTTTTAATCTCGCAGTAATCGTGTATAGAAATTTGCTATCATATCGTAGATGTCATCCGAGATGTATGAGATATTTTGACGAGCCGAAGAGGATTGTCCTCATATTTTCGAAACTCTAGGGGGATCTTACCAGAAACCTGGTCTGTCACGCACGTGTTGAGAAACTGTCACTATGTGTGTGTACTAAATATTAAATAAAAGCACTTATACACTACATACAATAATTATTTATATATCGTTCCGGTGCTGTTGTTGAGAGACTCGCGGGGAAGAATTGGAATTTATCCTGGTAAAAAGAAATTAATAAAAAATGTATAAAGTCGCATTTTTATCCCGAGTGTATTTAGACATGAATCTTGCAAGTGAGGCTTTCGTTTTTCCCGAGATTTATTCTCGACCCCACTTTCTAGGACGAAGTGCACTTCGGATGCACTTCACGTGCACCTGTCGGTAGGGTAATCGGAAGTGCACGCGTGGAAGGTGCATGTGCTCGGAATTACAATTTTCGCTGTTGGTTAAAAAATGCTCCCTGAAATTGGAGGCATGTTCGAAGTCGCTTTTACGGAGGGGAGGGGAGGGGAAATGGCAAAAGCGCGTGCCAAAATCACCGGGTCAACACACCCGGAATCCTTTGACACTTTCCACGTCTCTCGAAATCGGTGGCGACGACTCCTTCGGGCCTACATTATGAGTCTAATAGGTCTTGCAATGTGAAATCGCATTAACATTCCCAGTCGGTGCGACGCGCCTCTTCCTATTATCATATTATCGGGCCTATTATCGTATCTCTCTGCCTCTCGCGTTTCCCCGTAATTACGACGTCCTATTATTCGGCTAACCGTTGAAAAGGAACCCCGAAGACTTTCGCGGAACTCGTTTTCAATATCGCGGTCTGTTAAATCCGAAATACACTCCAGGATGAATTTAACGGATGGGATGTTCAATTTTACGAATTTAATATTTAACTCCCGATCGCCTTGGATTAAAGCCGTAAAGTGTGGGTTAGAAAGTGTAGGGTATCTTTTAATAACAGTATTTGCGGCCGTAGGATGGGAATTATATCCTCGGTGGTGTCATGCTTGGCGTAAAGAGACTTGGCGCTTAGTAGAGGCCTCAGTCGTGAACTTGTCGGAGACGCCGCTCTGTCTATTTATATCCTCTTGATAATTTTCCCAAATTTATACAGATTTCCGATAAAATGCCGTGAAACCAGACAGCGAAACCACATTAGGTAAGATTTAGTGTTTTAGAACGATTTTCTATATCTGGAATTTTGTAGGAAGTTAGGGATAGTTGAACAGTGTCGGGGAAGAAGCGATCATCCAAGATGGCGGCGAGGGGGAAGGAGGGACGAGGTCTTAATTTAATACGAAGTCGTTAAGGCCTCGTCCTTATCGAGGAACGCGAACTCGAGACGTGACTAACATAAGTCGCTCCTTTGACTATCGTGTCGGAGATTAGCCTACTTATTCCTTGTATACTACTTGACCGATGTTACGGGTCAAGATTCCATTTCACTAGTTCCCCCCCGAGAACGGCCAGGGCGATTATTCCCCCGAAGAGTTTTCCTTTCTCCCGCGCGAGTAATTTATGCAGATTGGCGATTTCGTCGCGGGACGAAATTTTCTAAATTAACCGGGGAAAGAGAGACGAGTCGGCGTCCACGCTCAGCCGTCCGGCGGCCATCTTGGAAGCCGCGATTTTCGCCGCGCGGAGGCGAATATAATAAGAAAATGAAAAGCGAGGAAAACAGCGAGCGCGGAGAGCTATTCTTTGCACTTTCTACTTTTCACTCGGCAACGTAAGATTTCAGACGCCGAACTGCAGTGCGTGCCAAGTGAAATCCGTCTGTTAATTCCAGACGGGAAGTGACGGCCATTTTCTTGAAGATTCTCCCCTTCCGAGAGTGTCCCCGTGTAAACGTCGCAATTTCACGGCATATTAAAGATATAAAAATATATATGAACGTTCTCGGGATATTTCTCAAGTCTTGAAAGCATCTTATCACGCGATGGGGTCTTTTATCTTCGGCAAGAGCGACAAATGCGGGGTCCCGCGCGTCTTGGGGAGCCCTTCTTCCTAGAACCTCTCCCACGGGAAAAAGAGAAAAATAGCCGCACGTCCCGGCCGAATTCTCGCGCCCGCCGTTTATTTTCTTGCATTATTAACGGGATTTTTGCGCGGAGAAAACGCCCCCGGAATTCTCCCGACAGGAAGCGTCCGGCGTGCCGGACAAGGGACGAGTTCTCTCTCGCGATCGCTACGAGGAATCGGCGAGCCGTCAGTGTGTTTCTGGAACTCACGTACCATCCGAACAACCGATATCCTCCTACGGATGCCTCTTTTTCGTCCCCCGAGTCTCAAACGGAGACGGATATTCCATTAGGCCCGAAATATCCTGAAAATATCCCCAAAGTGTCCGCGCGTCTTCGCGTCGAGCGCGATCCAAGATGGCGGCGGTCCCGTGACCCACCTCGAATTTTCCCAAAGGATTTTGCCGAACTTTCCTCGATTAAAATCGGGTTTTCTGCAGCCTAGCTCATCCCGCGTGCTGGAAATGTTCTTCAGGAGCGCCGGCACTAAACGCGACCGCGAAAGCATCGAAATCTCGCGAGGCGGCTCATTATCCAAGGAGCAGATGGTTCTCGGCAAGAAATCCGATTAGGCTCCATTTACAATCCAGCCGCATTCTGGTTTTAAGATCCGCACTTTTCCTCGGTGCTTTCCAGAGTTAAGAGGTCCTGAAGTCGATCCGTCCAGACCACGAAGAGTGGTTCAATTGGCCATAAAAAGGCAAGATTAAAAAAGAGAATTTAAATCCCCGAACATTCTGATCAATGATATTCCCGGAATATTTTTATGGAGAAAAATTAAGTCTATTTTCTTTTCCGTGCCTTCCAGAATTAAGAGACCCTAAAGTTGATCCATGAGGAGTGAACCTCCCCATAAAATGAAAAGAGAGAATTTAAATCCCTGATTATTAGATGAAGTTAAGATGAACTCTCTTCAGGGTCTTCGATTTTTCCGACCGGAAGCGCGTCTCGCGGGGACCGGAAGTGTCCGAAAGCTCCTCGGGGAGTTCTCGGAGGTGTTTCTGGGACGCGATCTCGTTCCTTCCAGGAGATCGATCTCCTCTCCGGCGAGTTCTCCCAAGGCGGGCGACCCTGAAGAGCCTTCGAGGCCTCAAGATGGAGACGGGCCCGAAGAAATCGCCGAGAAGAACCGATCTCGCAGATCTCGATCGACTTGCCTGTGTGGCTCCTCTTCGAGTACCTGAAGACTGCGGCCTCGTCGCCGGAGGAAGGATGAATGTAACTAGTGTGGTTTCCCGGTATCAAGGGGCCACGATATTGGGTTAGTTTTTCTTCGATTCTAGTTTCCAGAGCGGTGCAATGAGGCCTGAGCTTCCCGTAGAGGATCGTACCACGTTCCAGATCGTCTGCCAGGAAAGTCGTAGGTGTCAACTTCCGGGAGAGAAATCGCCAGGGACTCCCATCGAGGCCGGCTCCCTTTTGCTCGACTCGCAACCCCTGGAAAAAATTAAATAAAATTTATTCCCCCCAAATAGTTGCTCATACATAAATTCACAGGTTACCTACACATCGATACGGAACTTCTAAATACACCTTTACTGACATTTATACCATGCAAATGAAGGGAATAAATAAAAACGAATTAACAAAAATTCATTCATATGGGTGACGATAATTTATACGCATTGTTATTTATTTATATTTTCGGGCCAAATGGGATGGTTGAATATTTCCAAACGCGTTTTCATCGCGAGTGGGTGGAGGGAATAAATAGAAATAAATAAAGAGTGATTTCAATCCCGAGAGCCCATTATCGGAGCGGGGGCTCCATTATCGCGGATAGACCTCTCCATTCTTTTTCTTTTTCTTTTTTTAATATTTCTTTTTGTCTTCTTCCCTCGTTGGCAGATCCCCCGCTGGGAAATGACGGAGTGGGATAAATCGGGACAACCTTCGGGACGCCGTTCCAGGGGTCTGGGGGATATTTTACATTTTTATTTGGAATTCCCCGGAGAGGTGGAGGCTCCTCTGTCTCTTCGCATCGGAGAGAAGGAGGGCCGAATTAATGGAGGCAGTCTAGAGACAATTAATCAAAATCCGAACTAGCCTCGGTAATATGTCGTCCTAATGGCGGGGTAATTAATGAGAGATCGATCATACCTGAGATCTGAAAATTGACGGGCTCCTGGAGAAGATACTGAAATGCAATCGTTCCCTGCCTTTCCCTTTTTCTTTACTGATTTTTACTCGTAGAAGGGAAGATTTCGGCAGATTTTCGGGCTTCACCTGCTCAGCGAGTTTACAGCCACTTCGTATAACAGGATAAATCGCATCCGCGAGCCATTCAGCGTTTTCTCATCCACAGCATCCGCGAATGGACCGACCGCTTCTTGCTCGCGTCGCCTAGAAACGAATATAACGCGAGCTCGATTTAGCACCTTCCCGCGGGAATTCCGGGCGAATTTTCTATGGGAAATCAATTAGAAATTTGAAGTAGCGAATTATCCCAGAAGTGATAAAGGAAGCTTCAAGACGATGCGCGAGAATCGAAATCTCCTGATAGGAGAAGCGCCTCTTAAACGCCGAAACCAGGTAACGTGCGATAAGAGAAAATCCCGAAACGTTGCCATTTCATGATAATAAAAGACCCATTTTAATTACCAAAAATCGCCGTAAATCTTCGCCGCGGCAATTTCGGGCGAATTTTCTATGGGAAATCAATTAGAAATTTGAAGTAGCGAATTATCCCAGAAGTGATAAAGGAGGCTTCAAGACGATGCACGAGAATCAAAATCTCCTGATAAGAGAAGCGCCTCTTAAACGCCGAAACCAGGCAAGGTGCGATAAGAGAAAATCCCGAAACGTTGCCATTTCATGATAATAAAAGACCCGTCTTAATCACTAAAAATCGGCGTGAGTCTTCGCTCTTTATCTTATTGTAAAAGAGAAGTACATAAAAGTCTGATCATTCTCAAGGGACGAGTAATTTCGAAATTTATCTCCGAACTTCCGGCGTTCAGAGAGAGAGAGAGAGAGAAAGAGAGAGGAAGAGGAGTGCGCCGAGGAGGGACGAGACACGCGATGGGAAATAATTGTCAAAAGCGCAGTTCGGTTTGCTCGTAAACGTCAACGAACGGCTACCGCGCGTCATTAGGTCCGTCATTGTATCGCGCCAGGTTGGCCGGTTCTCCATAATGGCGGCCGGGAGTGGCTCCTCGTTCCTGGCGAAACGAGGCAGTATTTAAGACCGTTATTTCTCCTCCGAAACGCAATCCCCGACATGCGTCTCGAGCAAGATTTCCGAAAAATGCATACGTGCCACCCAAAAAAAAAAGCCCAAAAAATCCCCTCGACCCAGAATCCAATTATCCCAAAGAACGAGTCAATATTTAATTCCGTCACTTCTCCGGCATCGTGTAAAATCCGCAAAGCTTCCCACGAAGGATAACGCGAGAAAATGGAAAGACAAAAGTTAGCTGGGATTAATACAAAATCCTCTCTCGGGTCCGAGAAAAAAAAAAAAAATCGTCTTTTTAAAAAAAAAAAAAAAAGAGAGAGAGGAGGTCCAATCTTGAGGAACCATTAACCCCTCCGAATTAATCGACCGGGCGAATCCCCGTCCCCGAAAAATCCTCGACTCCTTTTTCGGGACCTCGAAGAGACCCTCGCGTCCATCAGAGACGGCCGGTTCTCCAAAATGGCGGCGGCAAAGAAACGAGATGGCATTTAAGATCGGGATGCTGGGCCCCACCAGGAGGGGCCCAGAGAAACGAGATACCGGTGTAGGACCCTCCCGGTCGCAACTTTGTTTCGCCGAGTTTTTTCTCGTCCGGGGGGAAGGGGACGAGGAGGGACCAGGGGGGGACCAGGGGGGACCAAGGAAGAGGGAACGCAGGTCCAGCTCGTTCTCCGATCTGCGGTGATCCAGCATCCTCTTTCTCCGATCTGCACTTCCCCATAGGTTTTTCTCTCTCTTTCTCTTCCTCCTTCCCTGCGGTCCGTTCCTCTTTTTCTTCCCCTCCCCCCTCCCCCCTCCCACCACCACCGAATCTGCCCTGTCCGCTTCGGGAGATTTATGCCGCCGACATTGAAACTAAATTACGCCATAAGTTAACCTTAAATTCGTTCCTTTCGATGCGCTCCTCTTTCCCTTCCCCCCCTCTCTCGATCCCTCCGAAAATTCGCTCGCAATTAAATGCCGCGGCGAACAATGAAACATTTGTTTGGCCCTCGGTGACAGCCTTGATCGGATGACTGACGTTTCTGGTACGACTTCCTCGAGGAGATCGATTCTTATTGGGCCGAGGAATGTTTCTATTTTTTTTTTCTTTTTCTTCCCGATCGCGGAAATCCCGGGCGTCCGATAAATCCCGGGAATTCCCGTCGAGGGGGCAATTCTTGATTATGGAGGATTACTTTCGGCGATGGGCGTTAGATTTGACCGGCCCTGGGGAGGAAATCGAAAACGAGGTCGTTGGTATGTAAAAGTCGCCCGGGCCGTGATCCAGAATGGCAGGGAAATTAATGCCGCGGCTGTCCGGAAGCAAACCCGTTCCTTTCGCGGGGTATCTACGGGTTAGAATTGATTTTATAATCGTCCCGTTCTTTAAAAATAAACTCACGTAAACGATCGCGAATTTAGAGACTCGTATAAAAGAATTTCCAAAGAACGCGTAACAAATCGCTCTGGAATAAATTTATAATTTTCACGGAATTACAACGCGCCGGTATGAAATTGTTAATTCACTTGGAATCTCATGATAAATGTACGGTAATTCACCGTTGAGACGTCAAATTTATAATTGTCACTGCAACCTTATGTACTAAAGGTGCATGAATATATTTTTTTTTTAATAGCTTACATTTTCCAGAGAACCTGATACCTAGGTTGGGGCAAGTGCAACGTGCATCGGGAATGCATCTCCCCGGTCTAGCCACCTGGTCGCGGTGCATCTCCTCGGCAAATATAATATTCATTCGGAGCCACCCGGTCGGCTCGTATTCGGCTACGTATAATATACGAGGGATCGTAAAGCCTTCCAGTTTACCCATATTCCGAAGTAGGCCGGCGTTAAATATTTATGAGAGCCGACTAACTCCGTCGCGATTTCGCCCGAGGCCGGATCGGCCGAGAGATCCTCAAGGGAGAATCGCGGGGCGACATTAGCGGTCATTAATGTGCGATAAGAAGATCGGTAAGCTCGTTCCGAGACACGGGATTCCTCTCGGGGGCCTCAAGGATCGGCCGAATCAATCTCGAAACGAGACCCGTCGATTCATGCCGAAGAAAAAAAATATATACATATAAATAAAGGGGTCCGAAAACCGGCCGGCCGGTCCTTATGCATCGGAGATGCACCGAAGATATTACAAAGATATTCCGTACATATCCCAAAGATGCGCCCGACTAAAATGGTCATTACCGATAAGAACTCCACTTTCTTATCGATTTGCCGATTTTTACCTCGAACTGGATTTTTTTTAAACGGATAAACTCCTGTAATGCATTTCCTTCCGGTAAACCCGATCGATTGATAAATCAATTTCTGGAAATAAAAATGACGGAATGGGGGGGGGGGGGAGATGGTCATTGCAGAGTGATTATCTCTTTCCTTGCTACGATCGACCATAAATAGTACGATAGTTTATTTAATAAATAGAACAATCAGCGTAACATGACCGTCAGGTACGAACGTCATAGAACATAATCGCGACTTAACTATATGCGTGTATGTGCTCCACTATATGTAACTATATGTAACGAAAATGTGAAGAAAAGAGATATGTGGGTATGAGGAAAAGTATATAAAAGTATGTATAAACGCGTGAGGTGGACTTAGGTGTACGAAGGGGGAAGGGGGGCGTAAGTCTATGTAAATACAATTTTTACGGGGGCCTATGTACTCCTATGTATAATGTAATTGCAGCGCGATATATTTGATTGTTAGCACATATGCGATATGTTTGGTAACTGATATGCGTAAGACTAGTGTTAGTGAGCCACACGTCGATCACTTTATATTATAATCAATTGCGCTCCTCCCTGGGATTTATCGTAATTAATATCTTCTCAATAATCCGCGGAGTACTCTTAAGTAATTACCAATTTAACGCGAGCTATGCCACTAGCTCGGGAATATTATAAATAATTGAAGTGACTCAATCGCCTTGAATGAAATCCAAGTAAGAGTATCGATAAGAAATATCTTACAACGAAGAGTTATTAAAAACGATCATACCGTAATTAAACAACGGGTGTATTAGCGATAACAGGCAGATAATTAATTACCGCGTGTAAATCGAGCACCCGAAAACGCGAAGCGGAAATTTTTGCCATTTCCGGGAATTTCATATCGTCCCGAAGAGCGACTCGTGGAATAAATTAGAATACTTAAAAAATCAAATAATTTCCGGATACGTACCTAGGGATACATTAAATAACAAGACTATAACAATTAACCGCGAAAGTTAATAAAATTCTTATCTACATCAACCTGGATCCTCGGGAACCCCTGAAGACGCAATCAGGTTGAAAATACCAAAAGAGAAATTTAATATAAATAAAATATACGAAGAGCCTCTCTACATGAAATTGAAACTCGATAAAAGAGACATTTATTTATAAGTCATAACAAGATTGGATAATACCTTGGACTCCTAAAAGTGATTTGATTGGCGCTCCTAATCCCTTACGAGGTCAAAAGTGGAGGTGACATTTTAATGTTGGATTTATTTGAAAAAAAAAAGTTCTAGATTTTTTGAGGAATTTTCCGAAAGTCTACTAACAAGACGAGTTATCTATCTTATCGATCCCTAAATTGTCGATCTCTACAGTGATGACCGGATTCGATTGGCACTGGTGATCGATTAACAGGTGAAGACTGGAGGTGATAATTCAAGATCGCCTCGATTTTAAAAAAGCCACCACCTGATAAGATATTTTTGGAAAATTTCGGGAGTCTAGTAAAAATTAAAAGGTTACCTATTCCATCGATTCCCTTAATTATTGATCTCTACCGTGGTGACAGAGTTTGATTGGCGTTCCTCTTCCGTCGCAGGTGGAGGCGCCAGGATGAATGCCGCGAGTCCGTTCTCCACCAGGTTCAGGAGGTTGCCCTGTTTCCCCCTGGCCTCCTGTCGCTTCTTTTCAAGGACTTCCGGTTTCCTAGTAGAGGAACCTCTGGAGGATCCCCTGGTGTTCTCGAGGATCAGCTGTTCGATCTTCGAGAGCCGCCTCTCGGTGGTGTTCTCCGGGATCTCGTTGTTCTCCACGGGAACCCCATGCCTGTTCACGGAGGGTTTGTAGGTCTTGACTTTAGAGTGGCCCTGGATGATAAGGTACATGGGTCCCCGAATGGGTTTTGCTGGCTGTTTGTAATGGGAGAAGATGGGATCCGTGGTCAAACTGGGAACCGTCGTGGTGGGTAGTGGAGGAGCAAGCGAAGTGGGTCCCTTCATGGTCGGCCCGTCTTCCTTCAGGATTTGCACCAAGGGGGAAGGCGTCCTGGGGTGATCCATACTTTGCGGGGTGGACAAGGTACCGGAAACCATGTGGTGACTCGTGGAGGGGGTAGGGACCTCTATGGAATCCAGGAAACCTTGAGATGGTCCTGGGCGAAGGGCCTGACCCATGGCCTCAGGGTGTAGGACCATGGAGGGAATCATCGAGGGAACCATCGAGGGAGGCATGGAAAGACCTCCAAATGGCGCAGGGGTCTGAGACCCCATCATCTGCTGGTGATTCTGAGCCCCACCATGCCCATGGCCCAAATGGGCAGCCATGTGGGACATCCCTGAAGACGGGACCCTGAAGCCCATGTGATTGGGCACATTGCTGGGCCTGATGTTCATGGTTTGTCCAGGCAGACGGTTCATCCCATGAGAACCCTGATGGGGAAACTGATGGGGACCCTGAGGATTCGACCCTCCAGGCCTCCTTCCACTGGCTGGGAAGACCCCATTCAACCCCCCCATCATGGGTCTCGCAGGGTTCCTTCCCCCAGAAGACCCCTCCACCAACCCTCCCTGACTCGTGGTCTGCTCCCTGATCGTCATCGCCCCATCCAACCCCATGTCACCATTCTTCAAGGTAGTAGTCAAAGTCATCTCCACGGGTCTCTCCGAGGTGGAGTAGTTCGCAGCCATGACCAGCGCGACCGGCCCCCTCTTCAGCTTCTGTTCCTCCATCTCCATCGCCGGAGTATTCGCCATGACAATGTGCATCTTCGTTCCAGCTTGGTTTTCTGGTTTCTGGGTGGTAGCATCCTCCTCCTCCTTCGTGTCTCCCTCTTTCTGCCCCAGGACCACCTCTTCGTTATCCATGCCTCCACCGTCGACAATGATATTCGCGTTCTGGCCTACGACCACCTCGTGGCTCGACGAGGCGGCCACGTGGTGATCGGATTGGTCCCTTTTCCCAGCCTCCCAGGAGAAGTGGTCGATGTCCGACGACGAAGTGGTCCCTGAAGAAGGGTCCGACCAGCCGCTGCCGGAGAAGGTCTGTGTCGACTGGTAAATTAAATTCGATTTCTCGAAGAGGACGGAAGGTGTCGACGGTTCCGAGGTGAGGCCCACCTGGGTGGAGAACGCCACCTGGGGTAGGACGCTCTTCGGGGTCGTCGCCGGCTTCGAATGGCCTTGAGGCCTCGCAAAGGTGTTCTCCTGCGCCTGGTAGGACGGCGTCTCCTGGAGAACTTGGAGAACGGGTCCTTCCTCGGTCTGGGTGCCGAATCGGTGCTGATGCTGCGACCCGAAGACCTGGTTCTCCAGGGGCTTCGGCACCATCGGCGGCGGCATCATCATCGTGTATGGTCGCGATTTGTGGCTGTAAAACGGACTCGGGAAATAGCTCGCAGGCACCGGCTGAATTCGGTTCTGGTTCCGGAAGTCCTGCACCTGTGGACGAACCGATACCACAGAACCATCGATATCATTATTTATTTCTCATTCGGAAAAATCAAAGTCCGCGGTGGAGGTGGAACTTTTCTCCGAACCGGGTGCACCGAATCGTTTGAGATTTTTTCCACCTGAACGAGAAGGCCCTGAAGAAGGTCCCTCCTCTCGTGGAATTTATTTTCACCGAAAATTAATAAAAAATATTTCAAGAACGAATTAGAAAGAAATTAAATTCTTGGGCGGGAAGGCCTCTCTTGGCCTTCAAATTCAGGTGGACAAATCTGGAATACTCGTCGTGACGTTAATATTAATAATACATTATCCTTACCTGCACTCCGTTCCTGAAGCTGGTGCTCCTCAGAGGTTTCGGCGGTTCCGCGCCTCCACTTCCGGTGTACTCGTTCCTCAGCAATACCGGCTCGCTTCTGTACGGTTCCTGGTTCCTGGTGAACTTTGGCCCGTCAACGAATTTCAGGAACTGGTCGGGGATCTTCGGGCTAGTTTTTTTCGCCGTCACTCCCAGGATCAGGATGTCGCGTTTCGAGGAAGGCTCCGTCGTGTGCGAGTCCAGCCAATACTGGACCCTGTCCAGGACAGGGGGGACATAGTCGAAGGTGGGGTCGTTCTTCAGGGGGTCCCCTCGACCTAGGGGGGTCCACTCGTCGTAGTCCATCCTCGGCGAGAATATTCGAGGTCTGCTCTCGTTCGGACCTACGGACAGAAAAAATAATTTACGGCGATGGTAAAAAAAAAAAAATTCCACTTCCTTCCGAATTAATAAAAAAAAAAAAAGAAAATGGAAATCCAGCCAGCAAAGTATTTTTCAACGTTCGTGTCGGGAACAATATTAATTTCGCAACAATTCACCGGGACTCCAGGAATTATGTTCATGAATATATTAGTGATAATAGTGTTTTGTTCAACGCTGTAAATTCATATTTACCTTTAGCCCTTTTTTTTTCACGATTTATGTGCGATTGGAAGTACTTTGCAATTATTTTCCCGGTAGGAACGAAATTTTATGCATTTCTCTGAGAAGTGTCGAACGGATTTTCTATTTTTCTAGAGTTTTTTCTCGATGCAAGATGCATATGCAAATTTCCATATGCATCTTGTCCATTACACGCGGGACTTTAGAACCTAGGAGAAACCCGCCAGGTATAGTAATCGTATTTGCATGCAATTAATATCGCAAATGGCCCGGAAATGCATGCCACCGATTTCCCGTAGAAGGCTCCGCAGCTTCTCCATTGTATTCACGAATGAGGGTCATTGCAAGCCATTACGGGAAAACGTACCGAGGCGACTCGATTTGCGCAGCTGCAATTGCGACCTTACCCCGGCAATTACCGGTAAATCCAAATCGAGGCTCGGCTTAATTGAAACACGCCGATTTGCACCCCGATCATTGCGCCCGGTAATTCGAGTGCGGACCCTTTCGAGTAATCATCATTTCGCGATAATTTCCTTACGTAATAACCATTAATCCGACATTAATTACCCGAACCCAAGGTATGAAAATTTTCCACGTATAAAAAAACTACATTGCGTATGTCCTTAATATGAACAAATGAACTCATCATTAATACAGAGTCTCGTAGATGCACGTACTCGTAATCTGGTAGAAAAAAAAAAAGAAAAAAAATTTGTTATCAATTATCACACTATGAGAAAAATGAAAATCGCTTAATCAGGGAAGCGTGAGCAAACATTAGCCTTCCCAGGTGTACTCGGCAAAGTAATTGCCTAGGTAATTGCGGGAGCAATTGCGAGAAACGGCGTGTACGTCTCGGTCGAGCAGAAATTGTGTTTGACGAGTCATTCTCTTTCTCGATTCATTAGAGTCGAGAGAGGAGTCGAGTGTTGCTTTTAAATGGTCATTAGGATTATCCTTTGCTGACTCTTCAGCATATCCCGGAGACGAAGAGGTCCATGGAAAATCGCAGTTAATGCAAACTAATTAATTCCCCGTTTGACTCGACACTTTCGACCTCGGTAACTCCATCGTGCAATTCCCTGTCCTTCAATTTCCCATGATTATCCCGACAAAGGAAGGACGGCCATTTTGACTTCCTCTTTCCTCCACCAAGAGAGCTGGAAATATTGTTAATTCACGCGGAGGGGATTTGTCAATGCAACAAAATGTGTGTTAACATTACCTCGAGTACCGAGCTGACCTACTGACCCTTACACACACAGAAAGGCCCGATTGCACACTTGTCAAAGGTGGGAAATCGATTAGGTACGACTAATCAGATTTTTCGGCGCTAACGAGGGACTGATTCGAAAATAACAAGAACAGGTGTAAACACACCTGGGGTTTAAAATATTCCGATACCCTGTTTCAATCTCATTCCTAATATTCGAGAATATTACAAAAGAATCCCTCAAAAAAGGAGAAGGATTCGAATAAAATGGCGACCCAAGAGCGATAATTCGCCATTGACGTCTTATAAAATTCCGATTTATTTCTCGTAAATAATTACGGATTTCGGGCAATAAATCTTCCTTAAGTCCTGTTTGTGTCTTTTTCTTTCTTTCCTTTTTTGTGAAAGGGATTAATCTCCCAGGATTAATTCTAACGGAGTCTCTGGACGCTCCGAGGCTGATTTCGATGTCGAGTAAACGGATATTATTAACGTTAAATGTAAAAGTGAATAAAAATTAAAAATCAAGGTCTGCTGGATTTTAATTACATCTCGCGAAAGGAATTCATCATTTTATTGGGCCGAAGTGAACGGAGAAAATATATCTCGAGAGTCCGTAAAAGGTAAAAAAGGAAAAGCGGGATTAATCGAGGGAAAAGTTTCTTTCTTCCGGAGCTCTTTTTTTTTATCTTTTTTATCTTCGAGGTATCCTGAGGCTATTTCGCGGGATTTTACGACCCGTCGGCAGGTCTTTAAAAGCGATTCGCGCCAAAATGTCCCGTCCCGATGGACGATATATCCGCGTAATTTTCACCAAGGTAAACGCCCAGGTAGAAAGAAAAGACCGGGAGGAAAGAGAGGAGAAAGAGCGCCGAATACGGCGCTCGGTTAATTTTAATGGCGAGACTAATTGCCGGACTCACCTGTTTTATTCTCGAAGGACGACGAGGCGATCTGGCAGGGCAAGAGGAGGAGCGATCCCAGGAGGAACAGCCACCTGGCCAGGTTGGCCCTTCCCGTCCTCATCTCTTCTGCAAGGATAAAAGCCAGCGGATTAAAAAATCAAATCCCTCGAGACATCCGAATTTTGGAACCAGGAGAGAGATATTTTCCTAACAGAAAAAAAAAAACAATGGACTTCGCGAGTCTTTCTGAAAAATAAATAAATTTTGTGCGAGCCTCACCGACGCTCAGGAAATTCTCAAAAAAATGTTTTGTTGAAAAATGTTGAGATTTTTCTGGCGATCGAGGTACGAAGGAGGAATTTTGCTCCGAGGGGAAGGAGTTGCGTTGAATAATTGAGTAAAGAAATTAATAATTTCCTTGGACCTTCACCTGCCCTCAGGAAATTCTTAAAGAGAAATGATCGAGTAAAAAAATCGAGGTATGAAGGAGGAATTTTGCTCCGAGGGGTCGGAGGAGACGCGTTCCCACGGTCCCAAGTCGCGGCCCTTGATGGTACTTTCACGTATTGTCCCCATCCTCTTTCCCTCGGACAATGAGAAGTACTTGCAGGTGCGGACCGAGCTTATTCGTGGGTACGTGATTTCTCGCCGTTCCGGGGAAGCCCGAGGGCTCTCGTCGGGTAAGTACTCGATGGCGAACGAGAAGTCGAGATGTCCTAGGTCAGGGCTCCTCCGGGTTTCCAGGTCTCCGAGACGACCCCCGGACCCCTTCGTCAGGCCCTTCAGGGAGCTCTTCAGCTTCCGAGCCCCTCCTTCCCGATGGAAAAATTCGATTTTCCAAGAGACTCGGGAAGATTCAGGAAATTCAAACGAAAGTACAGGAAAGTTCAAGAAAAAAAAAATAAATCAGGAAAACTTTTTCAGGAACCCTTTCGACGACTTCTTCGTCAACCCTTTCACGCCTGGTCTTCGGCTTCCGGATCCCATTTGGCTTTCTCAAAAATCCCCGATTTTCGATTTAGGAACCGTGACTCGGGATTGAACGGCTCCGAGGATATTTAAGAGGCACGTGCAATCGACCGTCCAAACGCTTCGTCCAAGATTCGAGTGGTCACCTCTCGGACCTCTTCGCGAGTTCCCCGGAAACCCGGAATGGGCGAGGACGGTACTTTCACCGCATCTCGTAACCGTGACACGAAGCCTTTTCATCGGGTCGTCGACGTATCGCCACGCCAAACGATCTATGACTTACTTTCGTCCGCCTTAACAGACACCCCTCGAAAAGACCCTCCACGCCGCGGGAAAAATTGACATAAATAAATATCCATTTCTTTCTCGAAAATCAGGAACTCCCCTCACTCCCCCTACCCTGGGAAGAAATCCGTAAAAATTAAAAGTGGACTTATTCCTTCGGTATCGTTTGATATATATTTTTCTTTTTAATTCTCTTCTGAAATTTTTGTTTAGCGACGATTTCCTGAGCTGTTTTTTCTTTTCGACTTGCGACGATTTTCCCAGCTTCGCTTGTTTTCTGTGATTTTCCAAGCTCCTCTCTTGCTCGACTTATTCCTTCGGTATCGTTTAATATATATTTTTCTTTTTAATTCTCTTCTGAAATTTTTGTTTAGCGACGATTTCCTGAGCTGTTTTTTCTTTTCGACTTGCGACGATTTTCCCAGCTTCGCTTTTTTCAGCGATTTTCCAAGCTCCTCTCTTGCTCGACTTATTCCTTCGGTATCGTTTAATATATATTTTTCTTTTTAATTCTTTTCTGAATTTCTTGTTTAGCGACGATTTTCTGAGCTGTTTTTTCTTTTCGGCTTGCGACGATTTTCCCAGCTTCGCTTTTTTTCTGTGATTTTCCAAGCTCCTCTCTTGCTCGACTTATTCCTTCGGTATCGTTTAATATATATTTTTCTTTTTAATTCTCTTCTGAAATTTTTGTTTAGCGACGATTTCCTGAGCTGTTTTTTCTTTTCGACTTGCGACGATTTTCCCAGCTTCGCTTTTTTCAGCGATTTTCCAAGCTCCTCTCTTGCTCGACTTATTCCTTCGGTATCGTTTAATATATATTTTTCTTTTTAATTCTCTTCTGAAATTTTTGTTTAGCGACGATTTCCTGAGCTGTTTTTTCTTTTCGGCTTGCGACGATTTTCCCAGCCTCGCTTTTTTCCAGCGATTTTCCAAGCTCCTCTCTTGCTCGACGGTTCTCTTCAGGTGCTGAACTCTCGGGCGCCTTGGAATCGGGTTCAACCGGACAATGCCGAAAATCGAGCCGTTGCTTCTCCCCTTGGGGCGAGTTCGCATGTACGTGTGCGATCGGAGAGTACAAGGAGACGAGTGGTAACGGTAGACGACGCTTCGGGCGTCGGTCCGTTCTCCAAAGCGGTTCCCACGTCGCCATTGGTCCGCCCGGCTGGGGAACCGCGAGTTCGCCTGGGTTCGCATCGATCTTCATTGACCTGTCAATACGATCCCGGCCGACTTCGATCGGCGCATTGGATTGGTCAGAAACTCCGAGAGGTACCGAGGAAACGCGGCGTCACCTCGAAGAAGACCCCGAAAAGGGCGCCGAAGAACCTGGCAAGGGTGTATCCATATCTTCGGTGCCTTGGCTTCCGGGATCATTTTTTACCCTTTTAAACGTTTCATTAATACATTTCATGAGAGATGGGGAATTGATTTTTCGTTCAAATTAGTTGGAAAAAGTGCCGGGGAAGCGCGTCGTCATCTTGAAGAGGACCCTGAAGAATTCCACCGTCCCTTTTTTTACACATATCTCCCATTCTCGTCCGTTTTCCAAACGTCGAAAAGGTTCCTTTCATACATTTCATGGTACCAAAGGAACTCGTTCCTCGGCTGGATTTCATCTGAGAGTCTCGAATTGGACTCGAACGAGTTCGAGGAAGAGCGCACTTCGTCGGGGACGGAATCGACTCTCGATTTCAAATTCGCTTTCCGAGCGTTTTCCTTTTTAGGTTTTTTCGCGTTTTCAGGGAAGCGCCTTGGAAGAAAAAAAATCTCAAATAAGAAAGGGCGAGGGGAAGAGGTCAGCCCTGGTCGGCAGCCAAATTAAACACGTGCGGAGTTAATGTTACGCCTAACTAACCCGACGAGTGCTAATTTCTCAGGTGCGAAGAAGCAATTATCGAGTCGCCGAGAGAAACAGGTGCGGCGCTCGTGACGTCTCCTGCACTTGCGCGTCCGTCCCCTCTACGACTTAAATATTCCTAATATAAAGTATTCGTATTAAAGTGGAATGTTGTCGTGATAAAATGATAAATCTGGATGTATTGTTTGCGAGGTAAAAGGATTTCATTTAAATATGACAAGGCTATCGAGGATTGTCGAAAATAGGACGCGAAAAAGCTCTCTCTTCTTCCCAGCGACCCTATCCTCGGAGCTGGGCCGCGAGACTGCGCGGCTCCGCGGTTTCGCTTCGCTTGTCCCCGGGCTCGCGTCACGTGACCGCGCCCACGTGACCGGGGGTATATAAGCGGGACGAGCGACCGAGAGCGCACACGTGCAGGTGTACTCGCGCGGAGCGCACCACACCGGAGAGAGAGGAGGACCGAACGAAAGAGAAAGACCGAGGTAAGGTAGGTGAATCGCGTTTCATGCCCAGCATTGTGAACCCGATGAGTTAGGTTAAGGCACAAGTTCTTACGATTGTAAGAAAACAAAAAAATCCCGCGAACTTGTTCCTTGACCTATGGTATGATTTTCATTTCTTAAGCTCAAGGAGAGATTAAGAAGTGAAAATGGTGAAAGGTACGTTTAAGGGAAACCGGAGAAAAGGTATTTCCGCAAGACGCTCTGTCGGATGCCCTTATCACAGGTTTCGATTTATCCGCTTCTGGTTGTTTTTTTTTTCCTGTTCGGCGCAATCACCGAATGATTAATCGTGAGCGTCCCAGGAGCGAGTTTTTCATTCTTTCCCGAGTTTCGCCGAAGCCCGATGGATCTCGTAACACGCGATCAAGGAAGGCCCACCGGCTTGCATACGTAATGGTACTTAGCTAATATAGGCCGCGAGTTTTGGGGCCGTGGCCCTCTTTTTAGCCGTTTCCCTTTCCTCTTTTCCCGGCGGTCTCTCCTTTCCTCCTCTTTCCCCGGCTTCCGGGAACCGTCGAAATCGAGTGGCCGACGAAAAACCGACGGAATACCGAAGGAACCCGAATTAACCGGCCCGTACTTTCCCGATGTTCAAACAAGCCTCTTAAAAATTCTATTTCATCGCATCCTCGTTATCTATACATAAAAATAATTTTCACACGTAGAAAAACGAAATAAATGGTAATCACGGTACGAGAGCGAAATGTCGAAAAGGGAGGCCGATTGATAAATCGCTTTTCATTTCCAGAAGGGGCGAAAGTTCGATCGCGGTGAATTTCGCTCGATCAAAAGTCAACGAGTCAAACGGTACCGCCCGATCCCGATCGGCGTTTCGATCTCTGTATCGACATTCCTGTATCGAATTAGAGTCAAATTCATCTATCGATGCCTAGATCATTACCATACCGGCAAGTATCGATCCCGGTCTCGAGACTCACTGGCTTTCGCCTTTCGGTCAATCCGGAAACCCGGGGAGCGACCTCAAGGTACGAGGACCGGCGAATCAATTAATCGATATCGGCCAATGGCGATCGATCATTGGCGCGCTTTGCGTAATTATTGAGCCCGGGGACAGGGCCCCGGTTATTAATTCGGCGTACGACGCTGCTTGCATATTTCCCTTGTTTTTTTTCTCTCTCTCTCTCTCTTCCTTAATTTTTGCTCCCCCCTTTCAAAGTGCTCCGATTAAGGAATATTGACCTCTCGGCCAAGATACGCGCCTCCTTAAGGGCTCCCTCCGTTTTCCACGTACATCATCCTTTCGCGGATATCCCTCCACCTCGTATGTACCACATAATTTAAGTACACCGATGTATGTACGTACATATGGTATTTTATAATACCGAATGTACTTCACCAGCGGGGAATATTTACCTCCCCGCAAGGGCTCCCTCGGTCCCCACTCCACCGTATTTCCTGAATAATTTAAATAAACAATGCCCACATATATTCATGCCCGTGGAATTTTCCGGCACCGGCGAATGCAACTTTACGATCTTCTCCTACGAGCCGCACATCCCGCGTGATGTATATTCAAAGTGCGTCTCCCGCGAGCCTCCGAATACGCGCAAGTTACTTTATGCTTTAAAACGCGGTACCGCATCCGCCACGTATGGTCTGTTATGGGCTTAATGCACGATGTCCTATGGGGTTTATATATCTCCCTTTAGTACCCAGAAGCCGGGCACTGGTCCTTTTACAACGTTCCGCGCGACGAAAGCGCACGACGTTTTATAACGCTTGCAAATTCCCTGTTCCTCTTCTTTTTCTTTTTTTTCTTCAAATTTTTACCTGGACCGGACGTCGAAAAGTGAGTTCGCTATCTTGTTTTTCTTTGTCATATTTTAAATTTTCATCCGCAGGGGACGTCGCAAAAGAGAGTTCGCTATTTTTTTTTTTCTTCTTCAATCTTTCTCAATTTTCATCCGCACGGGACGTCGCAAAAAATATTTTTCTTTAATCCTCTTAAATTCTCACTTGTACAGGACGTCGCAAAAAAGAGTTCACTATTTTTTTTTTTCTTCAATCTTTCTCAATTTTCATCCGCACGGGACGTCGCAAAAAATATTTTTCTTTAATCCTCTTAAATTCTCACCCGCACAGGACGTCGCAAAAGAGAGTTCGCTATTTTTTTTTTTCTTCAATCTTTCTCAATTTTCATCCGCACGGGACGTCGCAAAAAATATTTTTCTTTAATCCTCTTAAATTTTCACCCGCACAGGACGTCGCAAAAAATATTTCCCTTATTTTTCTTTAATCCTTTTAAGTTTTCACCCGCACGGGAGGACGCGGAAAGTGAGCTCGCTGTTTTTCTTTCCGACCTTTTTAAATGTCCACCTGCAGGATCGCGAAGGAAATAACCCAACGTGTCGGGCGAAAAAGAGCGGAGGCTCGAGTGGACGGATCGATTGAATATTAATTCGGCAAATTCGATACCAGAGAGGCGATACATCATCGACAAAGTGCAAAGACGTGTTCGAAGGAGGAGACGAAGAGACGTTCAAGGGTGTTGGGGTGGAGAGGAAGAGAGGGAAAAAAAAAATGGGAAAGAAGACGACTGACCCACTTGGGATAGTTTCCACTTATTATGGGGACCCATCTCTGGGGAGCCGAAAGAAAAAAGCGGCTTAGGGCCCGAAGAGGGACTTCTATATTATTTGTAAAAACGCCGAGGCGTTCCCACATATACAAGGATTAGGAAAAGGAGAAATAAATCCCCGGGAATAAATCCCGGGATTTTCTTCCCACTTCGTTTCCTCTGTTTACGCGATTCCTCCCCATGTCTTCCGGGGCGAAGGGAAGGATGAAATAAACGCACGAAAAGGAACGACAGGATACAAATCCTCCGCCATTTTTCCTCTTCGTCTCTACTCCTGCATTCGTTTGAAAGAAAGAAGAAAATAAAAGAACGTACGTTTATTAACACGCGTTAACCCCGGAATTAATCAACAGATCTTCCCCCGACATTTCACCGGAATTAAATAAATGCATAAAAGAAGAAAAAACCGATAGAGCAAAAATTCATCCTTAAAGAAATTGCTTTTTATTATTTGCCTATTCGCTCGTCTCTTGGAATGGTTTTTTCTCCCCATATCTCACGGGATGAGGAGAGATAAATAAACTCCCGAGAGATGGACCTCCGAATACAGAATCTCAGGTTACTCGTCTCCTTTATTTTCCTTCCCGGCTTTTTTTAATATTTATTTCCTTATTTATACGCGTTTACTTGTATCCCGGGAATAATTTACGTGTTTCCTCGCCACGCCCGGGTCGGATAGACTTTCGATGGAATTAAAGGAATCGAAGGAGAAAAAAAAAAACATGCAAAAAGAAGAGGAGGGAAGAGCTGACCCAGTTGGGACAATCTCCAGCTGGTTATCCGGTCCTGGTACGATTCGCATGAAGGAGCAGAGGTTTAGAGAACCCGAGAAAAAGGACATCCTTCCTTTGCGTCCAATTGTTTGTATAGATATATATCGATCTAGAGACGCGTCGGCCTCCGAAAAAGAACAAATCGATCCTTCCGATCAAACACGAGGCGAGCATTCGCAACGTTCCGGTCTAATTGTAAAGATCCAGAGGATAAATCCTGCCGATAAGTCAGGGACCCTCCGCGTTTCACACAATCAGTTTAACAGATTTTCCGTCCCCCAGCGAGGTTACTAATTTAACAATGAATTTTACCCAATGCGCGGAATTAATTAAACGATAAAATCAAGAGGCTCAATTATGCATCCGCTGGGAATGTCGGAAAATTTAATATTGATTTTCGTATATTCCCTTTTTTTTTTTTATTGCTCGTTCCGCGCGATTCGGGCCTCGATGGTTGTTAATTAAGTTAACGAGAGGGCGAAATTATGCACCGCGTCATAAAGGATGAATTGTTCATCAATTTTGAGAATTTTTTTTAATCTCCTTGATTATTGGTTGGTTTAATATTTGGCGATCAGCGATCCGGATTTCGATGGTTATTAGCTAATTGTGCCCATAATTATGAAAGTGGTCTAAGTCATATATTTTTTGTTTCGAAATTACATTGAATTAATTTCGTTTGGAATAATATGGCGTGAAATAACTGATAAACTCATTTTCTTTTTAATTTCGACTTAGACCACTTTCATAATTATGGGCACAATTAAATGCGAAAATTATGAAAGTGGCCCGTCATATATTTTTTGTTTCGAAATTACATTGAATTAATTTCGTTTGAAATAATATGGCGTGAAATAACTGATAAACTCATTTTTTTTTTTTAATTTTGACTTAGACCACTTTCATAATTATGGGCACAATTAAATGCGAAGGTAAAATAGGGCGTCGAAATCTGGCGGGGTCATTTTCTTTCTTTTTTTTTTACAATTCTTGGCATTTTTTCGACCGATCTTAATCATTGACCTTGCCAGTTTTCAGGGTATGAAAAGGATGGCTCGCTTCGGCAAGTTCATGGCGACCTATTTGAACGATCCGGGTTTCGCTGGTTATTCATAGAGAGTTCCCGTGCATCGGCGGAATCGATTCGTTCCCATCGAGAGAGAAACCGGCGACGTCGATGTGGATCTTGCACCGAACACGGCCAAGAAGGATTAGAGAAACCGGTCGAGGTCGAAGGAAGATCCGAGGAAGAGGTCGATAGGATCGAAAAAAGAAAAAAAAAAAGTAGGATTCCTTCAAAATTTGAGTTACCCCGATTTTCCTTTCCCGCTCGAAGAAAGAGTCGAAAACAAACATCCTAGAGGGGCTACATCCGCGACGACAAATCGTAGCGATTTATTACCCGTAGAGTTAAATCTGCCCAGATTAATCGCGACGATTTTTCCATCCGTGCAATTAAAGTTATCTTCCCAAAATTAAGAATGAAATTCCTAGACTGGTTTGCACGTATTTTATCGCAACGATATCTAATCTGTGCAGTTGAATCGAGTCTCTTTTTAACACTATTTCGACCAAAAGGTTTCGATGAGCTGGATGAAAATGATACCGCTAAATAAATTTAACAATTATTACACGAAAAGTCAAAACATTAATAGAGAAAAAATTATTAAACTAAATAATTTCAAGTTAAAATTTTAAAAGGTGAATTTTGACACCTTTGGTAGAAGTAGTGTTAAATAGTGTCCCCATCGCTTAAATCTGTATATATTAGTTGGTACGATTTATCGTCACTTATGTGGCCGGTTGGGAAGAGTTCCAACTCACCTGGGGTGGAGGCGTGGCCGGCTTCAGGGGGTGCTTTCCTGGTTCGACTTCGGAAAAACGGATTTTCCTCTTCTAGACCCTGGTACCCGGAGTCTCCCCCTCGGTGGGCATCTTCTCCCTCGTCGGTTTTCGATCCGGAGGATTGGAATGAATTCCAGGTCCCGGTGACCGACGTCGACACTGGGCCGATCGCGGTCCTCTTCGCGAGGCACCCCGGAGGGTTGGGAAATCCCTGATATGTTTTTCCGAGTGATATCGGTTAGCGGTGACGATTCGATCTCGAGGCGGGTGGATCCTCGGATGAGCGGTGTGGATCGCTCGACGCGCGGTGGTGCACTGAGACGAGCGGGCTGCCGGCCGGCTCGCTTAGCGGGCGGTTTCTCGACGGCGGTACATACGACCGATCGCGACCAATCGCGAGCTCGAAGAGCCCCACGTGCTTCGCCGTCGAGTAACTCGAGGAGTACTTCCGGTAACTCGAGGTAAAAAATAGAAAAATCTCTCATTGAACCAGAGGAATATATTTCAATGGTACCAAAGCAATACTTCGGAAATTCAAGGAATATTTTCCCTGAAATTGGACGTTTATTTTCGGAATTTTGACAACTTATTTATGTTTTGCTCGGGTAATTATTTCCTTGATTCAAAGAATTTTTTTTTTTTTTCGCAAGGTATTACTCGGATTGAAAAATCTCATTGAAACAGAGGAATATATTTCAATGGTACCAAAGCAATACTTCGGAAATTGAAGGGATAATTTCCCTGAAATTGGACGTTTATTTTCGGAATTTTAAGACAACTTATTTATGTTTTGCTCGGGTAATTATTTCCTTGGTTCAAGGATTTTTTTTTTTTCGCAAGATATTACTCGGATAGAAAAATCTCATTGAAACAGAGGAATATATTTCAATGGTACCAAAGCAATACTTCGGAAATTCAAGGGATAATTTCCCTGAAATTGGACGTTTATTTTCGGAATTTTGACAACTTATTTATGTTTGGTCGGGTAATTATTTCCTTGGTTCAAGGAATTTTTTTTTTTCGCAAGGTATTACTCGGATAGAAAAATTTCTCATTGAACCAGAGGAATATATTTCAATGGTACCAAAGCAATACTTCGGAAATTCAAGGAATAATTTCACTGAAACTGGACGTTTATTTTCGGAATTTTGAGACAATTTATTTATGTTTTGCTCGGGTAATTATTTCCTTGGTTCAAGGATTTTTTTTTTTTTAGCAAGGTATTACTCGGTAGCTTGACGAATGATTCAATTAGCTCGACAAATGATTCGAGTATCTTGACGTCCCGCCTCGAGTAGATTGAGTGGTTCGTCCTTCCTCTTCTTTTCCGCCACTTTTGACATCCCGACTCGGGTCAAAGATTTTCCTGTTGTCGAGGTTACGCGCACGTGAAAGTTCACCGCTCGTGGACACGTTATAACGGTCTGGCTGGGCCCACGCCCGTTTTTAGGGCCCCATCGAAGATGCCCCGTGGGAAAGCGACGGTCCGCCCGTCATCGGGGACCCATAAGCTTCCTCTGGAAAAAGGTCATGGAAAAAGAAACCTCGACGGGCCCGCCTCCGAGATCGCCGTGCATCTTCCGAGGCCATTATCAGAAAAGCCATTATCCAATCGCGAGAAATTCTCCGAAGCTCTCGGAATTTACCTGCAACCTCACCCGAGATCGATACCGATCGGTGTTGGTCGCGATCGGCATCGTTCCGGGCACCGGAAGCCGACTTCCGAGGAGCAGCAGCCAATTTCCGGTGACCTCTCGATTTGGAAACCTCGTTTTCCCTTGGAGAACGATCTGGGACAATCGTGACTGGTCAAAACTCGGATTTTTTCGTTTATTTCCATGTTAACGAACTGTCGCCATTTTTCGGCCCCACCTTTGAGGGCCCAAAGGGTAGCCGGAATTTTTTCGGACTTGCCGAACAGGGCGAACAGTCCTAATTAAATGTGTGGTTTGTAAAAATTCCGACTTTATCGTTTATTTCAATTTTAACCCACCTTTGAGGGCCCAAAGGGTAGCCAAAATTTTTTTCGACCTGCCGATCAGGTCGAATAATCCTAATTAAATGTGTGGTTTGTAAAAATTCCGACTTTATCGTTTATTTCAATTTTAACAAACTGTCGCCATTTTTTCGGCCCCACCTTTGAGGGCCCAAAGGGTAGCCAAAATTTTTTTCGACCTGCCGATCAGGTCGAATAGTCCTAATTAAATGTGTGGTTTGTAAAAATTCCGACTTTGTCGTTTATTTCAATTTTAATGACCTGTCGCAATTTTTTCGGCTCCACCTTTGAGAGCCCAAAGGGTAGCCAGAATTTTTTCGGACTTGCTGAACAGGTCGAATAGTCCTAATTAAATGTATGGATTGTAAAAATTCCGACTTTGTTGTTTATTTCAATTTTAACGAATTCGGTATTTTTTCGGCTCCACTTTTAAGGGCCCAAAGGGCAGCCGGAATTTTTTCGGACTTGCCGAACAGGGCGAATAGTCCTAATTAAGTGTATGGATTGTAAAAATTCCGACTTTGTTATTTATTTCAATTTTAACGAATTCGGTATTTTTTCGGCCCCACCTTTGAGAGCCAAGGGTCAGCCGGAACTTCTGCAGACTTGCCGAAGAGACGCGAATACCCCGGAAGAGCAAAGTTTTAGGCCGCATACATATGAAAACGACCTCTACATCGAACGTGATCGAGGCCTCACTTTCGAGACGAGGTGCGAGCCTCGTACCGCGAACCTCGTTACTTTCCTAACGACAAATGGCCGCTCTTCCTCGGCATATGTGTGACGTGCCATTTTCATCGGCGCATCCATTTCCACGGTCCCGATGACGTCACGAAGGACGACGCTCATCGTCCTCCGTGATGTCCTAAGACTTGACATCGGCCAGGAAAGACAATGTGCTATTTTCCACAATTTTCCAGGATTTTCCCCACCTATTTCTTTAAACATGTTTCAATTGCAAACGACGGATGGCGAGTGGGAATAAAGAGTGGACCTTGAAGAAAGTCCCGAGGGATCGCCGGAAGTTCGACTAAGAGTCCGATTTTACTTTCTACCGACCGTTCTGTAATAATAACCGGGCAAGGTCGGTCCGATTTCGGCGCGTGGTTTCTCTTCAGGGTTTTCATTGACATTCCCGGGGCAGTTCTCGATTATTTCGACTGCCAGGAATCCACGATCCGCCGATTTCTCCGGCATTCTCTTCGAGGTTTCAATTTTCAATTCCAAGGATACAACCCTAAGAGGTACTTTTCCGGGGAAGCGCAACATCGGAGTACCTCAAGATTCAAGTGACTAAACGACTGCTCGTTTCCGTTTTTTAATGACTTGTACAGAGCATAAGAATTAACTGACCAATTTTCTAAACTTGCATCAGACCAAGCGGTGACTCTCGAGTGCAAAGGGTTAATTCAATTTGAAGGAAATTCCGAAACAAGGAGAATAATTTGGAAAAAATTCCCACAAGCCGGGGAGGCATTTTCCTCTTCGGCGTCCTCTTCAGCTCCGATTTTAAATCCCCCCCAAAAAATGAAAATAAGATCCTCGCGAGCTCGCCCTTCTTCAAGAGAGATCGGGAGAGCCGATCGATCGATCGATTTTTCTCGCCCGATGCCTGGAGAAACGACGTCGATTTGGGTGCATCCGGTCCTTGCGGATCATCCCACGGAGGTCCCACTCTCGAGTGCAAAGGGTTAATACAATTTGAAGGAAATTCCGAAACAAGGAGAATAATTTGGAAAAAATTCCCACAAGCCGGGGAGGCATTTTCCTCTTCGGCGTCCTCTTCAGCTCCGATTTTAAATCCCCCCCCAAAAAATGAAAATAAGATTCTCGCGAGCTCGCCCTTCTGCAAGAGAGATCGGGAGAGCCGATCGATCGATCGATTTTTCTCGCCCGATGCCTGGAGAAACGACGTCGATTTGGGTGCATCCGGTCCTTGCGGATCATCCCACGGAGGTCCAGGGAAGATCGCGAATCTTTCCTCGGAAAGTAAGCCGACGTCGACGGGAACGATTTGTCTCGGCAATAAAATAACGAGAGGCGGCCCCGATTTTGGCCAGGGGCGATAACGCCGATAACTCCTGGATAGGTGGAGGACACCACGTGGGTCCGCGCGTGTGGTCCACGGAGGAGACCCTGAAGAGAGTCGATCGGCGTGAATCGGTCTTCCGGCCATTCTTCAAAGAGAACCTGAACGGACACCAGGAAGAGCAAACCGGTTATTCTGATTTTACCGAGTCCGTCCGACGGTTCCCCCCGACTTACTCGAAATTCGAAAAATCTTTCCGGTTCCTTTCTACGTTCACCGCGCCTTTCTTCGAGGCTCTCTTCGGGTACCCTGACTGATGGATCGCAGCTCGGAATTCATGTAAATTAACGACTGCCGGGGTAATTGGCCAGTTTTTGCTATTTTGGTTCGCTTTCGAAATCCTGGGGATAGGGGAAAAAAATGCCCTTTTAGTGAACGGACGAGAGGGCGGAAATAAAAAATGGCGATACGAGTTGCGGCCTCTTCTCTTCGTCGGGATTTTCTTTTCTGGATTTCTGCTCCAATTTCGGAGATTCTCGGGAGTGATAATCGATTTACTTCCTTCTGGGTCGAATCGACGCCTAGTGGTATGATCGGGATTTTTCCCCTGTTAAAAATCACCTTCGCCATTTTGGGAATTTTACCAAATCTGCAGAGCTAAGAGGATTTCCTCTTTTTATTTAATTTTTATCGACATTTCTTCTCGCGGGTTGACTTCTTCCCCTCGTACCCTATAAAATTCCCTTCCCCACGATCGCGGTCATTCTTTCGGGAATTTCTGCAACTTATGTACACCAGATCTGTAATCAGAGCTGCGAGAACGGGGTCGGCTTCTTTTTGGGCCGCAAATCGGTCAGCGGGCGGACCCGGGTCCACCCACGATCCCGATCTCGATGGGAATCTGATGATTTCCATAAACGAGCGAGGGCGCGATATACGAAGGCGGCTTTGGGCCTCTCATTAATCGGCCTTGGCATGGGCCCAGGGCCTGGCCCATGGGACCCCGTATCGGACGCATCTATCTGGAGCACCCAGATATGGATGCTCTTTTGCATGCTGATCATAAAGTCTCTCGTCCGTTTACCACGGGTTCCAGCCACTCTCCCGGAGCGTCTTCTTATTTCGGAGACCTACCCCGCAATTTCGGAAATCGACCTCCTCCCGTTAAAAAAACAAAAAAAAAGAGAGAAAAAACTTCCCAAAAAGTTTCACGAAGTAAAACCTGGCTTCCACTCTATGTTTTTTCCTTTCATGTCTTGTCCATTTATTTCGTCCGTTGTATATTATTAATTTGCGCTCCTTATGTTTAATGTCTTCAAGTTATTTAAGGCTTCTAACTTCGACATATCTTCAGGAAATCTGAGAATTCTTCGAACTTCAATCCATCGTCTCAAACAAAATCTGCGAATATGGGGTTTGTTTAAAATCCTTGTGCCGATTTTCTTGCTCGGTGGATTTATATATTAAAAAATGGAGGTTTCTAAGATATTGAGGAATTAAACGTAGATTTGAATTCTTCTTTTAGGTTCGTTTTTAGGTTTTGGGAAAGGTGGAGTAGATACTTTTTCGCTGTTTATTCCTGTGTCCGCGGATTGATACTCTGGCGCCATCTTGTGAGGTGAAGTGCAACGACTTGCAAAAATCTCGCTTTTCTATAACGTGAAACGAACAATATTCTCGATTCTCTGTTTTCGGAGCTGTCAAAACTGAATTTTCTAATCCGAGAGGCAAATTTAATGTTTAATTGGTGTTAGTTCGTCTTATCAACCGTAGAAATAATTTTATAGGATTTTACCGGAAGTCGGTAAGAAAATGGCCGCGAGGTGGCTGTAGGAATCAAATCTTATCAGATTGCGAAGAAAATCAATGTATAATTCCAAGATTATGAAAATTCCGACACGATTAATAAATTGTAAATAACTCTCGGATTGAATTTATTAATAATCGGTCGTGATTAAAACGATGAAAGCTCGCAGAGAGATAAGGTATTCTGTTTTTCGGAGCTTTCACGGAGAGACCTTTTATTAGCACATTTACGACATACATACATAACAAAAGTCAACTTAACTAAGATCCGATTAATAACTGCGCCTACGTGGTACAGAACGTAATGTTAGAAATACATATATTTATATCACAGTCGTAGATAAACATAACGCTTTTATATAATATAATTTAACATCTAGATAAATCCGACGTCTCGTCGAAGGTAAACCGAAGGTGACGAGAAAGACAATTTCTGGATAAAATTTCAGCTCTACAATTAAATATCATATCTCCCTATCCAATTCGCCAGAACAGTTAATTTTTGGTGAATTGAAAATCTTCCCGCCTTTCCTATCACCTTATCTTAATTGTATCGATTACAGGACGTACTTCTAGGAATAATCGTAAGTGATTCGAGGAAATACAATTAATCCATGCTTAATGATAAGCGCCAGGATGGTGTTGATCCAGTCTTTTGTGATCGTCTCCTAGAATTTCGGAAATAAATTCTTAATTCTACCTAGACATCCTCCAAGTGGGGAATTCTCCCCTAGTTAGGTCCCACGAGCAAGAAGAGGCCTCGGGAAAAGTCCCTAGATCTACTGTTTTAATTAATTAATTACTTATCGATTTATTTAAGAACTCTCGTCGCGCTCTCGAATAAATCCCCGAAATTCGGGGAAAGTTAAAACGGACTATCAGGAGACATGCAAGTCCTATTATTTATACAGTAAACACGGAATGAAACCCTATCGCCGGTGATATCGAATCCCCCCTGATAATGGGGATCGCGAAATGACCTTCGGGATTTCTCCCATCCTCGCTCGAATTATTAATTAATAATTCCTCCGGAAACATCCGGACACGCCATAGGGAATTATTATTCGGCAACCACTCTACGCTATTTAGAGTAGGGCATGCAAAAGTCAATTGCGAGTCATACATCTCTAATTTTTCCTGAGGCCACTAATTCATGATTAGTGCCCACCTAGAATAACGATTTGTAATTATTTAGAAGTAAGAGGAATTATTTGTACCGACAATTAAACTTAGTCTATCCTCGGTGTCGAACGTTTGTTACTTTTTAAGGGGAATCCGGAAATGCGGAGAAGTTAGAAAATTTTCCAAACATTTCGACGGGAAAGGCGAAGATCGCTCGATGTCGGAAACTCGAGTTAAAAGAGATCCGCAGAATGCAGATGCAACAGACCCGACAGATTCCGACACGATCTTCGCTCGGGAATGTTCCCTTCTCGGGTGTGGAGAATCGCGACACGGATCTAAAGCAGATGCAATTCCCTGCTTAAGGTCCACACACAAGGGATCTACACGTACACTCTATCTGGCGTCGTAATATACATCGTAAACGAGTAAAACGAGCTCTCTGCTCTTCCCTGGCACGCCCTTGGTGCATCTCTCGCGTGCATTCGCTTCAATCCCAGGTTTAGAAGAAACCCATTGGAGATGCATCCAAGAAACCAGAAGGAGTCTCATCCGCCAGGAATCGCTGGTTCAGCTCCCAGAATCGAATGCCAGCCGGCGCAAAGGTTCTTCAGGGCCTTCAAGAGGGTGGAAGGGATGCTGCGACTCCTTATGAACGCGATCCTGATTTTCAGGTTTAGAAGAAACCCATTGGAGATGCATCCAAGAAACCAGAAGGAGTCTCATCCGCCAGGAATCGTTGGTCCAGATCCCAGAATCGAATGCCAGCCGGCGCAAAGGTTCTCCAGGGTCTTCAAGAGGGTGGAAAGGATGCTGCGACTCCTTACGAACGCGATCCTGATTTTCAGGTTTAGAAAAAACCCATTGGAGATGCATCCAAAAAACCAGGAGTCTCATCCGCCAGGAATCGCTGGTCCAGCTCCCAGAATCGAATGCCAGCCGGCGCAAAGGTTCTCCAGGGTCTTCAAGAGGGTGGAAGGGATGCTGCGACTCCTGACGAACCCGATCTTGATTTTCAGGAGGCATTTAATCAGAATCTTTTAATTTCTGAAGGTCCCCAGATGTACATCAGCTGTCATTTAATTTGTGGTCTCCAGGTCCGCCTCGGCAGGGTCCAGGATCATTCGTTTACATGATCTGGAATTAGGATCATCCCAAGATAGGTCGCCAGATTTAGTTCACCTGGTACCAAGACGTTCCCATGTAAGGTCTCCGGAGAACCATTCCAGCAAATATCAGGATAGTCCAATCTGTGAAGATCTCCAGTTCGTATCAGCTGGAGTCAGAATCTACCTGGAGACGACTTGGAAGATCGAATCCTAAAATCCAGGACCAGGTCATGGTCCCGTCGAAGACGACCGGATGTCAAGAGCTTCTCGAAGGGGATCTCTTGATCGTCACTCCTTCCTCGGCGATTTTTCTTTACTGCTCGTCGGTTTGGCCTAGAAGGTCCCTTCCAAGGAGTTCTCCAGCTCCGTCAGAGCTGGTACCAGGGTCTGCAGAGAGAAATAACGCGATCTGTCCGCAGCATCCACGCTGGTGACGTGCTGGAACTGACAGGGCTGGCTGATGTTGCTCTTCGCCGGGAGTACGACCTTCTTCTGGGGTGGCTTCTTCTTTTTCTTCCCGGGGACGGACAGACTGATGTTCTCAGGACATGATACCAGACGTTCTATGTGCTGCCAGAGGTCGTTTGCGGCTTTTGAGTTGTCGAAACTGAGTCCTGCCAGGCGAGTGTGGTCCGAAGAGAGGCACATCGTGTGGAAGGCTGGTCCAGACACCTGGAAAAGATCCTCATGAATTTTGGCTCCTCCGACATTGACATAGAAATCATTCGATTACTCATTACCCTTTTCCCGGGGGATTGTAGGAATTAATCGGCAGATTTATTAAACCTCTGATCACGATACATCTTTTTTTACGATTTTTCCTGCAGACTAAGGGACTTTATCCATTTTTAGCTGAACATTCTTTAGGTTTTCGGAGTTATGGGTGCAACTGGGATTCCTGCAGATTGGAAGCTGATCTTCGCTCGGTATCTTTTTCCAGGATTTTATTTACAGGCTAACAAAGACGTGAATCATCGGCAGGATGACTCCCGATAGCGACTCGGTTTATCGTTCTCATTCCTCTCGCAACAAGATACCGGCATTTGAAAACATGCGAAAGCGGATATGATCTCAAGTTTCCGGTCGCTGCGTATGTACAGACGATTGCAGAAATTTCATTCCTAATAATCTGAAGTCGGAAAAATCGGGAAAAAATGTATTCCCAATTAGTACCCTCGGAGACACCTTGAAAAAAAAAAATGATCAAGCTCGAGTCCTTGTTTCCCTGGGAAATAATTCCTGCAATTGTTTCACCTTTTCAAGTACTGCCGCTTCGGTCTTTCAGCGAACGCTCGGCGTTACGACCTCGATTACGTCCCATAAATTCGTTTATCAAGAACCGGCGGCAGCTTTCAACAATTTTCCGCCACCTTCGCGTCCTTATCGACCTGCATGACGCAGCCAGCGATTAGCGCAATAAATTTCTCACCTGCTGTCGACGAAACGTCGTTTCAACAAACATTACCCTGGGGCCTAATCTCGAGCGAAGGAGCGATACCGAAAGAAGAAAAAAAAAAAAAGGAGAATTAACGCGAACTTGGAAATGGGGTTCAAAAGAAAGTGAAGCGATGAACGGAGAGCATTGTGGAAAAAAAAATAAAAAATTAATAATGGATGGTTTGACATTTTTACCCACCTTGTAGGAGGACAGATTGTCGATGGTCTCCCTCCAGAGGGTGAAACAGGTGCCACGTTCGGCGAGCAAAATCTGGATCCGCTTTTTGGACCGTGATCTGGTCTCCCCCAGGTCGAGGACCACCACAGGGATCCCAGTAAATCTCAGCTCCCAGGTTTCCGTCTGAGACGCGTTCCCCAGGTAGAGATTGGCCAGAGACTCGCAGACGAAGACCTGAAAGTCGGATCTCGAGGTGACTAGGAAATGACTCCTTGGTGTCTTAACGAAAAGGAAGACTCGGTACGCCGGTACCGAGGTGTACTAGAGGTCTTCGGTTATAAATTACCGGCTCATGTTCTCACCTGGCTCTTCAGGCCTCTGAAGAAGGTCTCCAGCTGCTCCCTTTCGACCTGGCTCACAGGATCCAATCTCGTCTCGTCGCTGTTCTCGGAGCTGTCGCTTCCCTCGTAGCTGGACGTCGCCGAAGTGTCCGCCTCACCTGTTGAAGAGAGTCGTCTCCTGGTAGCGCCGCTGTACTCGCTGTAGTACGAAGAGCTGTGCAAGGAGAGGTTAGACTGCAACGCCGGGCAAGAGGATGCGTACACCGGGCCGTTCATTTTGGTCTGAAACGAGACGAAAAAGGAAAAAATGGTATTTAAACGTCTAACTACTCGACACTTTCCAGGAATTTCGCCGTCGATTGAAAATACAATAATTTCCAGTGATTTTCTAGTCGACTGAAAAAAAAAAAAGGAGAGAAAATTCATTTCCAGGAATTTTTTGCGCAACTTAAATTGCGCCATTAATTATTCTTCGTAATGTCGCAATGGTCGTCGGGACATTTTCCACTTCGAGCAATTGTTCTACGCGCAATTATCTGTAATGCATCTCAATTTGGGAGTGATTGTAGGTAAAATTGTATATTTCTATTTTTTTTTTGCGGTTCTCGCGCGTCTCTCATGGCGGCCACCCAGAAGGAGGGTCCTTTTTGCAAGGATCCGAAGAGGAGTCTTTGAAGAGGGAAGCGTTAGCCATCTGTCTCTCGAGGAGAAGCTTCGCCACCCTCTCTGCCACCCACATCCGGTGCACTTCTCGCCCTCGAGAGGGAGAAAGAGGGACGGAGAGTGCACAATGCACTTCCGGCAAGTCCTCGACGGCTCTAAGCTCTGGGAAACGCATTCGACTCGGTGTGAAGAGTTTGTACCCTACATTCCTACAGGTCGTTTAAATCGGAGATATGGCGACGTCTCCGAGATACGGCATCAAGGCTCGGACATATATTTTAATTAATTAATAAAATGACAGGCGTACTCGAAATCGACGGGAAACTGCAATTCTCGTTAACTGCCCTAAGGAGGTCCATCGGAGTGGAAATTAAAAAATAATTCCTGCCCGGAGTCTTAAATAAATAAGGAAACTGCAATTGTCGGTAACAGTGCCAAGGACACCGCGAGGTATAGGGCAGCCGAAATTGAAAAGAATTTCTGCACGGAGTCTTAAGTAAATAAGGAAACTGCAATTGTCGGTAACAGTGCCAAGGACACCGCGAGGTTCAGCGGGGTGAAAAATTAAAATGAATTCCTGCACGGGGTCTGGAATAAATAGGGAAACTGCAATTGTCGATAACAGTGCTGAGGACACCGCGAGGTTCAGCGGGGTGAAAAATTAAAATTAATTCCTGCAGGGGGTCTGGAATAAATAGGGAAACTGCAATTGTCGGTAACAGTGCCAAGGACACCGCGAGGTTCAGCGGGGTGAAAAATTAAAATTAATTCCTGCACGGAGTCTTAAGTAAATAAGGAAACTGCAATTGTCGATAACAGTGCCAAGGACACCGCGAGGTTCAGCGGGGTGAAAAATTAAAATGAATTCCTGCACGGGGTGTGGAATAAATAGGGAAACTGCAATTGTCGGTAACCGCGCCAAAAAGGAAGGGCCACGCGGTCCGGCGGCGTCGCTCGATTCCCGGAGCAAGGGGGCGAGAATGGACGGATCGATCTAGCGATTTCTTCGCGATTTCCGGGGTGGCCGGGATAAAGGGAGCCCGCCTCGGACTCTCCTGGACCGGGACGCGTTCCATGGGGATGGAAATTGGGTCGGCGAGTTCCGCGCACGCGTCACCCTGGACAGCGCGACGGAGAGGGAGGATGCGCGAGCGAAGGAGCGCGACGGAGAGGGAGATACAGCCAGGGCTGATCGCTCGGCATCGAGTGTCCTACATAACCTCTCTCCGCCGGTGCACCGTAGCCTTAATTCGGCCGCGGTGCCTAACCTCAAAGTGGCCCCCGGCGATTTTTCATTCCCACCGCGAAAATTAGCCCGGGAATTATAATTAGGAGAACGTAAGAGCCCCGCGGCATGACCGCGCGACAGTACGCTCGAACCCTTTCCTTTCCTTTCTTATTTTAGAACTTACCGACATTTGCAGTTTCTCAAATATCTCGGGAACCGTTCGACGGAATTGGCCGTACTTTTAGAGTATCAATATTTCAAGGGGGAGGATCGTTCCTACATGAAAGGATTTTCGATCAGAGATCGTTTCGCGGGTCTGCGACTCCTTGTTATCGGGGACGCGTCGGTGGCTCTTATCGGAGAGGGGGTCCTTACGAGGGCGTAGATCCTGCGAACAATGGCGCTTCCGGTGTGCGTTTCGCGCGTCATCTCGCGTTACGGTTTCCGCTGCGTGGGATGGAGGTAACCGCGATTCTGGGCCTTATTAAAAAAAAAATAATAATAATAATAAAAGCAGCAAACCGACCTCGGTACCCGCTTCCACTTTGCACTTATAGTCCGTTTTGTTTATAATTTGTGAAATTGGGCCAACCCTCATTTACGGCCCAGTAGCGGCCATGTTGCAAAAAAGGCCCACTGCTCTAAGAAGTCTTCGCGACCACGGAGCTCTGATAAACTAATAAATTATTCACATCCACCGTTTAAATCTTCATTCGTGCCCCGCATTTCCATCGTCCCCCGAGTCTCGGGCCCCGCTTCTTGCGAAATGGGCCCCCGGCGTCGGGCCCCGAGTCCCTCGCTTATCTCTCCTCTTAGAGGCGACGTTTGCACAACGTACGCTTGTCTGTCGCGAGTTTCGCAACGAGGTAAGGGGACGAGCTGAAAAGTGGCCCCTGACGCGGTTTCACCGCACGCGGTATTCGGGGGCCTTAAGGTGTCACGGAAGGGCCATTCGGTATATATCAAAATGTTAAAATTAAATTAAATAATTAAAAATGTCCCGCAAACCTAGGAGTACCGAATAACTTCAAACTTTAGCCCGTGATTATGGAGCCCCTGATGAAGGTACCGAAAATAGGAAAATATCATTTTTCGTGGAATTTTAATAGATGGAAGTATTAAAATATGTTATTAAAATTCGTGTATAAAGTGGCCCTTTCGTACGACCTTAAGGATCTACGATGGAATTACGATTAAAAATGTCCTGCAAACCTAGGAGTACCGAATAATTTCAAACTTTAGCCCGTGATTATGGAGCCCTTGATGAAGGTACCGAAAATAGGAAAATATCATTTTTCGTGGAATTTTAATAGATGGAAGTATTAAAATACGTTATTAAAATTTGTGTATAAAGTGGCCCTTTCGTACGCCCTTAAGGATATACGGTGGAATTACGATTAAAAATGTCCTGCATATCTAGGGTACCGAAAAACTTCAAACTTTAGCCCCTGATGAAGGTACCGAAAATAGGAAAATATTTTTCGTGGAATTTTAATAGATGGAAGTATTAAAATACATTATTAAAATTCGTGTACAAAGTGGCCCTTTCGTACGACCTTCAGGATCTACGATGGAATTACGATTAAAAATGTCCTGCAAACCTAGGACTACCGAAAAACTTCAAACTTTAATCCCTGATGAAGGTACCGAAAATAGGAAAATATCATTTTTTCGTGGAATTTTAATAGATGGAAGTATTAAAATACGTTATTAAAATTCCTGTATAAAGTGGCCCTTTCGTACGACCTTAAGGATCTACGACGGAAAATGAGAGGCGTCGTTGAGCACTTCGCGAAAAAGATCGACACGCGAAAACGTGCCCGATAACGGCTCGTGAAAGCGGCTCGACGCGATTTCTTTCTCTCTCTCTCTCTCTCTCACTCTTCGCCCTTTTTCCGCGTCCTGATATGGGATTATCAAGGTCAGGGATAACATGCAAAGCAAGTGGACCGCGTCGGAGATGCCGATGGACCGGTTCCCGGAAACTTCTTCGCTCATGAAGAACTCGAAGAGAGAGGGGAAAAGGAGATCGCGGAGGAGAACGGGAGGGAGGAGACTTGCGGAAAAATAAAAGAAAATGTTACGAGCCCTTCAAGGATTCCCTAACTTCGGATCCTCCACTCAGAATGTAAGACGCGACACCCTGGCTCTGCCCAAACCTCGAGGTGTAAGAAAAAGAAAAATGTGGAAAAACCCCGGAACGAAGAAAAATCATCTGAAAATAAATATAGCCACGAACATTTCTAGGGATTATCCCGAAATTCGGTAACCTCCACCCCGAATTTAAAACCGACCCTGACCTACCCTCCCTCGGAACAGAGGAAGGGAGAGAAATCGGAGCAATCGATTTGCTAGAAAAAAAAAAGAAAAAAAAATAATACCTACATTTTTGCGGTCTCCCGGAGAAGTTTCGAAAGAAGAGTATCCCCCCCCTCTTATCTCGGATATTTTCCCCGGGTTATCTTTTTCCCTTCCCGATGGTAAACGGTGAAAACCAACGGAGATCGGGCAGGCACGCCGAGTCGTGACTCCGCAGCTGCACGTGCAGCTACGCAATCCCCAGGCACGACTTCGGCTCTCAGCTGCAGTACGTGCACTCGATGAAACGTCCCCTGTTATCTCCTCGATATCCCCGGTTTCGGTTTACCCGACGTTATCACCCGGTCCGTGGTCCGAGCGCGGTCCTCTATCAGCGGCGCGAGATAAGGGAGGGTCCTTCGAGAGATTTTCTCTCTTTTTTTTTTTTAAACCCTGCAACACGAGATTAAAAATTACACCGATATAAAAAACATCCTGTATAAAGAAAAGGAAGTGGAAAAATTGGTTAGAACCCCTCCCCTCCCCCCCGAAAAAAAATGATTATTAAATATGATACTCCGTCTCGAAGGGACTAATTTTGATATCGACACGCGTCACGTTGACATGTCTTCGGTGTGATATTTTTTTATATCCTCGGATGATTTTTTGACATTTCGCTAACTCGACCTTTTGGGACGATTTTGAAATTTCAGCGGGATTTTTAGATTGGTTTTTTATCACAAGGTTTTCATGCGTTCCGAGGCCCTGATGGTTCCGCGGGATCTCGGTATGTCTTTTTTTTTTGTTTCGCTGCATTCTGAGGAGTGATATCCTGATGAGATTTTTTTATATCGAGGTCGTGAACCGGGGAGGTCGTCGAATTTAACGGGGCTCGCTCCTCGTCCCTCGTATATAGACAAATCGATAGCAATGCGATATCGGTGCCACGAGGTCGCCGTTTAAAGGCGCGTGCTCATTGACGAAGCCCGATCGGTGTTCGATCTGAATTTCGCCCCATTTTTTTTATCGACTACGAAGGCGATGGAAGGAAAGTCGAGCCTGAACTACCGGAAGTCTCCATGTCTGGGCTCCC